CCCCAGCCCTCTCCCAGGGCTGGCTTCAAGCCCTTTCAGGGCCGGAGCAGGTGACTACCCTGCTACAAGCACCTTATATTTCTCTTTGTTTTATTTCATTTTGTTGTCTATAGCCCAGTTCTCCAGCTTATCAAGATCCCTTTAAATTTTAGCTCTATCCTCCAAAGTGTAAGCAACTCCCCTAGTTTTGTGTCATCTGGAAATTTGATTAGTGTGCTCTCTGTTCCTACATCCATGACTTCAGTGGAAGTAGGATTAGGCCATTAAGCCACAAAGTACAGGTCCTTGAAATCACTGAGTGTTGTAGGCACTCAGGTCCAGATCCTCAAAGGTATTAAGCACCCATTGATTTCAGTGGGAGTTATACTCCTAAATATCTTTGAGGATCTGGGCCTCAGCATGTTGCTGATTCCTTGCTTCAGTAAAGAACGAGGCCAATAAACAAGAAACCCACTTAGCCAGCAATGCTGTGCTGCCAAGGCTAATGACATCACCAGTAGTGGTGCTGACAACACCACACAGCCATGTTGGCAACATGCTCTTTAAAACACAAGTGGGGGAGGAGAAAATATTCGCTGGATGGAAAAATAGCCAGAATAAATAGGGGGAAGAGTTATTTTCAAACATCTAAAAGAATGTTTAAAACAATGGACTGATAAACCACAAATTAAAAATTGATTCAGAAATGCTTCAGTGTCATTTTTCCGTAACGAGAGCAGATGTGGGTAGAATGCTTCCCATTGTTTGAGAGCGTACAAGCAACTGTAGGAACGAGTCCAGGCCAGCCCTTCCCCTTCCCAGACCACAACCTCTCCCAGACAATGATCCCCAACAATTGCCACCCATGTCACCAGCAGGGGGTGCTTCAAAAGCAGTGCTATAGAAGCCTTCCATCCCCAGAGCAGCATCCCAATCCTCAGTTTCATGGTATTATAAGAATGGGCATGTACACTTGGACTGTCAGACTTTGAACTCTGCTCTGATCACATACTTGATCGTCTGCCTGCTTTGTGCTTTCCCTTTCAATCCCCCTCCTTTCATAACACTTCCATACTTACTCTTTTCTACTTTCCCCCTACTTCCCGTCTACTTTCCACTCTCACCCCCCACACAAATCTACTGAATTTAACAAAACATGCCAACCTGCACCCTCACCAGTTGCTTGTATATTATATCTATTTCCTCTCTTTGTTTTTTGTTTTTTCAGCTCTCAGGACAAGGACTGTTTCTTCCTCTGTGTTTGGAAAGTGCCATATAATGTGTGGTGCTGCAATACAAAATGATTACAAAACTAAGAACAAACTCAGTATTTTCACACTGTTTCGGTGCAGCTCATAGTTTTTGTTACAGTTGAAAAGTGGCTGAATCTGGTGAAATAACGTCAAATTTTCAAAGTTGCCTCAACCAGGACTCTGCATATGTGCAAACAACTGCCTTTGTGCATGTAAATCAGTTTGGACTTCTCATTTACTTCTAGACTAATCCAGTCTGGGAGACTAACCAGGCTGTCATCAATAATACTAGGGATACTGAAATCTCCTCCCTAAGCGCTGACCAGCTGGGCTGACTCCTCTGTTGAGGAAGCAACTCAGTAAAGTAGCTGGTTCAGCTGCAGGCACCCAGCACACGAGGAAAGGCAAAAAAAAAAAAAATGGATCTGAATCCTCCACCTGCAACAATGGCTGCACCGACCTCCCATGCATACATCATCAGTGGAGGGTAGAGCAAGCTAGGACCTAGCCTACTCCCAAAAGCAGGAAGAAATGGGCAAATAGGGGCAGAGGTACAGTCTCCCCTTCAACTTCAGAAGCAGCAATCACCTACCAAAATGTGTGTGGGGCCCTCTCTTACTCTCAAAGTCCATATCAGCTTCCTCCCTCATGATGGCAGGCGGCAGGGAGAACAAGATAATCTGGTCTTCTATGATGAGATAACTGGCTCTGTGAATATGGGGAAAGTGGTGGGCGTGATATACCTTGACTTTAGCAAAGCTTTTAATACGGTCTCCCACAGTATTCTTGCCAGCAAGTTAAAGAAGTATGGATTGGATGAATGGACTATAAGGTGGATAGAAAGCTGGCTAGATCGTCGGGTTCAACAGGTGGCAAAAATATTTTTGGAGTGTATCTGCCACCCAGTGGAAGATTTATGCAGAATTGTCATGAAACAGGGCTTAAATTACAGTGAGAATTATATGGTAAATTTACTTCTTCTCTTTTTTTTTTAATGCATCTACTGTCTTTTTCTGGTCTGCTTCTGCCACCCAGTGGGGAACTCACATGAAAACCCACTTAATGTACTTTTCATATGTAACAACTGATTTACAGGTGGAATTTCCTTGGTGTTTTTTAGCATGTTCTGATACCATGTAGGAAAGCTTCTATCTCTGAAATATGCATTTATTTTTGTTTTAATTAACTACATTGATTGGTTAGGCCGGGGTGCCTACCATGCCATGGATTCACTGGTCCTTCTTCACCATGGTAGGTAAGAGAAAGGTATTAAGACTACATAGCCTAATCTAGTCCGTTAGAAAGCATTTGGATTTGTTTTGTGGATTACTTTCCTGTTGGAGGAGAAATCAGTGACATGGTCCCAGGGTATATTTTCTATGTAACATGTTTTAGTTACACCAGTCCTGGAACAGAGTGGTCATAAAAAGCATGCAGAACAATCTCCTGTTCCTAGGGTCTCAGCCCAAATACCAATACTCAGGAAGCCTGTCTCAAGAACTGACTCCAGTTAAATGGACTAGGGCAGAGAACATATTCCTTCATGATTTAACATCGCTCATTCAAAGAAACTATCACCAAAAAACATTTCAGAATTTCTTCCAAGACTAAAAACTTGCTCGCACTCTAAGAACTTGTAAGACTATATTTAACAGCAACATCCGGTGACCCTTGCCATAAAAGTGTCCATATAAACCAACATAAATAGACTGATAGGAACTGAGCTGCTCTGCAGGTACCACCACACCTTGGGTTGGTGAAAAGTATTCTTCAGTCCCATCCTATTGCAGAATTTCTCTGTGACCAAGTAAACTTCTGAGGCTGGGCTCAATAAACAGGATTTGGGCCCAAAGCCCAAATCTTGCTATTGATTTTTAAGCAAATGTCTCATTTTGTTATTGGTAATTTTGCATGTAAAATAGTGAAAAGATTTTGACCCAAGAGCTTGATGTTTGATGAAGATTATTAGGATTGTTAAATATTTATAATTGTGGTAGAGCCTAATAGCCTCAACCAGATTCTGCCTTACTATGCTAGCCACTGTACAAACATATCAAAATGACAATCCTTGTTATAGGTAGCAGGTGGTTAGGGCTGGGGAGGCTCAGCCCTTCTCCCCACCCCCAAATCTGAGCCACCCCACTGCCCATGTGTACAGCCCAGTGCTCGACAAGGAAAGCTATGTTTCCAGTGGCACCCGGGCCAGCTTGACGCTGAGCCACTTGGCTGCCCAGCAGCAGGAGGAGCAGGGGGAGGTAAGGTAAGTCCACAGGGCTCTGGCATGGTGGTGCTGACAGAGTCTGTCCTAAGTGTGGCCATCACACACTGACTCTGTCCCTCCTGGTGCCTGTGATCAGAGCTGGGGCTGGTGCTAGTGACAGATGAAGGGAGGATCCATTAGACTTTGAGGGTGGACCAGATGTCCATCAGAACAAGTCCTTTGCTCCAAAAGCTTAGATGTTCCCTGATCTCAAAAGAATGGAGATAATGCTTAATCTATGCACGTAGATGTGATCTCTACTCCTTACACTTTCAATCCGACCCTAAATACTGGATCTGGAGTTTAAGTATGGCTATAAATAGCCTGAGACAATCCCTTGGATGTACTGGGGGCCATGAAATCTTGAGTTCACTCACAAGACTTACCATGTGAGCACTAAAGTTTCCAAAAACACTCAGTCTTGGTGCCCACCATACTACTGTCAGCATATTATTATTAGTTTTTGTTCTGTGGTACTACATAGAAATCCCCAGTTAAGGGTCAGGGGCTCTATGGGTTTAATGCTGTACACACATAACAAGAAGATTGAGGCAGGGAGCAAAGAACTTATGATCCAAATGCAAGCTGAAGCCAAGCTTCGTGATGCAGTGGAACTATACGTAAACCAACAATCAGTCCTATCTTGGGACTCAAATAGAATATTGATACATGACAAAAAAAATTTGGAAGAACAGCATGAAAAGTAAATGACACTCTCCCTCCCCACTTTGAGTAAGCAAAAGCATATTACAGTTTGGGTAAAAGGTGAGTTATGCCTGGTTAACTCTTTACAAGATGGGATTTAGCCCATGCTGCAAGTAGCAGCATGTCTTCCTCCTTTAATTAGTGCATAAATTGCTTGGTCATGAAGATATGCAATGGGTGAACTAGTTTATCATCAGCAGATGTCATAAATACTTAATGTAGGGCAGACTCATTTCAGGCTGTCTTCTTCAGCCTTCCGGTCATGAATCCAAACTGTGAGGAATGTATAAAGGCTTAAGAACCCTCATACAGGTCCTGATCCTATATCTTTTCTTAGGATGGAAATACAGGTTGGCACCACAAGAGATAGACTTCCATAAAATTAAAACCATTGTGTAATGTTTTTCAACTTTTATTATAAAAAGCATTTCCTAGGTACATTCAGAAAAGAAATAGTTGTTTGGATGTCAAATATAAAACGTGGCATTGCTTTATATTAATATAAGTTGTACAATGTACTCAAAATTTAAAAAAGCAAATGCAGTATTTTAAAAACAAATATCCTCTATCTGAACAGGTGCCATTTAAATGAAATGGTTTACAACTTCTTAGGTAGGATTATCATGTTATTATTTTACACTAAAAATTCACAAAGTGAACTGGCTTCTAAATTAAACAGTAATTCATATGTATTTTTCAAAAGGTTTCAATTTTGAAAAGGGAGCAAACACGTATTTTGTTCAGTTACACTTGTTTTCTTCCACATCAAAGGATTTCATGATGTTTCTCTCTGAAGTCTTCGCTCACTTTGCTTGCCATACAAAAGAAGATGATGACTCACTTTGCTGATCTACATCATTTGAAAGATAAGGATCACACCCTGTTTTACATATACCTGGAGGCCCTCTAAGTCCTGGGTATCCTCTCAAACCAGACTGTCCCATATGTCCCCGTGGGCCAGGCTGACCTGGAAGTCCATTGAATGCTAGTCCACTTCTTCCACTTTCACCTTAAGAAAGGAGCAGTGAGCAAGAGAAATCAGGCAATTACAGTAATAGAGGTTAGAGATGGAAAGGACCTGTGGTCCCCCTAGCCTATCTCTCTTGCCTAGCTGGTGAGCTGGCACCAGCAGTGATGTTGAGACTCCACCAACTCCCATTAAGCTATGATGCTCAAGAACTGAAAGTGTGGCTGGCCGTATGTAGGGTCAACAGGGAAGGTCATGTGGAAGCAGATGTGTGCAGTTTGGCCTGACGTGATACAGCCTTTATGGGAAGGTTCTTTATATGGATTTTGGAAAGTATCCACGTAAATAATTCTGTCAGAAAAGCTGCATGATCTTTATTTGCTTTCTATTTAGAGAAAACCAATTATGTACAATTTTCACTATTTAAATAACCAGACTATGTTAATAGTTTACTCTAAAGTGTTTAATCTGCCATGACAGGCTGTAGTGCAAAATACAACCTATTTGGGCTTTACATGGTACCTTTTATCTATCTCCTCAGAGGTTTGCCCCAGTTTTGACAGAATTGCACATATACAGGATCATAGGAGCATCAATTCACAGGACACATCTCGTACATCCATACCACATTAAAGTGTTTACCAAAACCTACCATAAAACAGTACATACTGTACAACATAAATACAGAATATACTTATAGCAAGAAAGATTTCAAGAGCAAAAAGGAGTACCTCTTGGGCCTTGATTGCCTTCAAAGCCAGCAAATACAAAACCTTTGGCACCTCTATCTCCTTTGTCTCCATGTTCACCTAAAATTTAAAATAATTAAGTGTCTTTAAATGACTACCATATTTGTCAACAGCAGCACTTTCACACTTGTGTCTGCTGTAATTTACTCAAACGAATATTGCAAAAAAAATTATTTTCCATTTTGAAAACATTTTACCTTTTGGTCCTTGTTTTCCTGGGTCACCAACATCGCCATAAAAGCCTTTAGGTCCATGTTCTCCATCAGCTCCATTTAACCCAGGTTTGCCCTATAGAAATGTTACAAATATTACAGTACGTGAAACTACTCGATATTTTTTGTTGTTGAATTCCAATCAGTACCATCAGATAAAATACTGTAACTAGATTAAAATACCATAACTATATAAAAATTAAAGGATTAGCTACACTGAAAGGAGAAGAGTCCAAATGTCACCTTAAAAATCAAAAGTAAGTATTTGACTTCAATAAACTTTCCTACTCTCCAACAATAAAACATTTAATTCAATTCATAAATGAAGTAAGAACTAAGGGTTATTAGAAGTCTGCTTACTTTTATGAAAAAGTCATAGTAAAATGAAAAATCTGTAAAAAATAGAAAAAGCACAGTACATTTTTACATAGGAAAATTCCTATTGTAGTTCATTATGCCCACCATAATAAGGTGAGAGCCAAGAATATTTGAAGTAGATAAAGGTCATGTGGAGATAAGGATTAAGGCATCCACAAAGGCCTTAATTTCTCTAGAAGGTCGAATAGTGTTTAAACTTGATTTTTAACAATCAAATTAGCTGACATGGTGCTACTGACCACCGCTGACTGGGCCATGGCACAAGGACAAATTGTTGTTTAGTATTATGTTGTATAGTTATGGATAAACACTGGTCCCAGTAGGGTTTACTCACAATCGAGTGGATGCTAAACACAACTTTCCTTTTCCATATCAGGCAGTCAGCAATGGTAAATATCATGTCACCTAACTCAAGTGTTAAAAATCGTTACATTTGCTAGTGGGGGAGAAAACCCAAAAGCTACTGAAAACAGGCTGTGTGTTTGGGAGGTATGTTTTACCCACCAGTGCAGTTTGAAAAGATGAAGATAAGAATTGCGGGAAGGTAAAGAAGGGTGTTCCATATGTCGGAGCAAAGTTGTAAGTGACTTTATATATCAACAATGAAGGGTGAATGGGGTAAACTGCAAGGAGTTCAGAGGCAACTGAATGAAGTGGGAGAGCAAAGAGTGATTAGGCCAAAGAAATAAGATGGAACAAGGCTACAGAAAGATTTGAGAAACACTAGGCAGATCTTTAGTTGTATACTTTGGAGTAGAGAAGGTAAAAAACTGAGGCAACGTTGCATGCTTGCAGCTTGGCACTGTACTCTGGGAGTTGGGGTCACCAGCCAGGAGGAAGTCAATATTTAAAGATATTTGAAGTCATTAGTAAAATGTAAGTTTTAATTTGTTTATTATTTGTGTATTACTTCTATTAGGTGATATTAACCTTTATCCAACCTATTAACCTAAACTTTCACATTGAAACAAGCTCTTTTTTTTTTGGCCATGATATTCCAATTTTGTGTGCGGTATCGTACTAGTCCATTCTGTTCAGAAAAGATTAATTTGTATATCTGTGGACAAGGTCACTAAATATAGCTGTTCCCCGGCTTGATATTTAGCTTTAGGTTATGAAACTAAATCTCTCTTTTTTTAGAATACTTCATACTGCAGGCAGTTATTTGCATGTAATAATATAGATACCTAAAGAACCATGAAGATGAAAAGGAATACCTCAGACGTATTACCATGAAATCTTAAACTTTTAAAAGTTTCTTACCATGTTATTTTAGATTATGTGAAAGGGTATTGGCTGCAACACAATAATGAATGTGATAACTCTGATATAAGAACTACTTAGGCAGTTACTCATGTGTTATACTGTAGGTACTGGAAAATACTACTGCGCTGTACACAATGAAGTTATGGTTCTCCAAAGGTCAATATTTCATAGATTAGTGGGTGATGAATGCCATGTTATGAGTCAGAATTTGCCTTTGGAGCTGTCAAACATCATGATAGCACTAAATAAAAAACCCTGTTTCATATCACTTTTTAGCAGCTTAATTACTTGTGAAAAAGGTCATTACATTATTGTTCAGCTTGTAATTGTATTAAATGTACTTGTCTGACACAGCTCCACTACACATTTCTTTAAGCTTAAGATAACACAGCTATGATCTGAGGTTTTTTTCTAACGTGCTAATTTCTTCCATAGTAGTGTTGTACTTGTTAGAGAAAAATGGGTCCTCTGAAGTCAACACCAAGCTCATTGATTTCAATGGGAGCAGGATCAAGCACAATATTGCCACATGGAAAAATGTTTTCTATTTTTTCAGTTCATGTGTTAAATGAAGTTAACAATGTTTTCAGTGTTTCAATAACTGGTTAATTTTTGTAATGGCTTTGTTTTTCTCCCCCTGTATACTCACCTCTTCTCCAGGAGGTCCAGGCAAACCAACAGGTCCTGGAGGCCCCATAGGCACATCTCCATAAAGTGGGCATGTGCTGGCACATTTCCTCCCAACACTATTGGCAAACATTGACATTTGTTCTAAGACAATTCGTTTGCACACTTCTATCACATGAGCTGCTGGGAAAGGCAGCCCCTGCATGAGAAGAACATGAGAACAATCAGAGAAATAAAATATGCAGGAACAGTTCCATTAATAGCATAACTCGCTGAAACACCTCCTGAGTTTCCTGTAATTATCCATGTAACATTTGGCTGTGCTGTTCTTTGTCACTGTACAGCTAATTTTATGATAACATTAAAAAAGATGATTTCCAAGCATATTAACAAATGAACCTTGTTAAACAATTATTTTACAAAAACAAGCAATTTTTACAAGAAAATGCCTGATGGACCTCAGTTGGACTAATTTAGTTTTTAAATAAAAATTTAGAACTACTGAGCCAACTTCATCCCTTCTATAATTCCACTAACATGAGGAATGAATTTGGCCTTCTTGTCCAATTCTGATCCTACTTACACATGTACGACCACATTTATTACAGCATGCATGTAACTGTGAGCAGAATTTGATACACCATCTCACAATTCTGAGTACTTAGTTTCTTCTATAATATTTTAGGTCAAAGGAACTGAAAGTCTTACAGGAGGTCCAACTGATCCAACATTTCCTGGTGGACCCTCATCTCCAGGAACACCCTGTTCTCCAGGTTGGCCTCGGGATCCAGGCTCTCCTGGTGGACCTCTTTTACCAATAAAACCCTCTGGTCCTGTTGGTCCTTTGTCTCCAACCTAAAACAAAGATTTGACTTTGTTACACTTTGTAAGTGAAGTTTTCTTAGAACGGTGTTTGAGCAATTATGGTTTGCTCTTGCTGGCTTTATTACAAATTTTCTATAAGTTCAAATACCGTACACCTTTGATGAGTGCAGTACAAGTATCCTAAGATAAAGACGGAACAGCAAGGGAGTAAAAGGTGTTTTTACTTACATTTCCTTTTGGTCCTTTAACTCCTTTTTCTCCCTTTAAATATAAATACAAATACTATTTTTGGCACTGAAATTCATACAATAATATTTCCCATTGCTTTGTTTGTTATCCTTGTGTTGAAGTAAGAATGTTAATACCTTACAATTATGCAGCACTTTTCATCCAGATCCAAAACACATTTGCAAATGACAAACTAGGAGTACAAGAGGTCATTGGGCATATCATTCAAAACTTCTGTTCATAGAATATATATTCATATAAGGCCAAATCCTCAGCCCAGCATCCACCCATCTTTGACCCAAGTTTGCATAGCAGCTGTTGAGACACTCTGTTGAGATTACTTCTACTGTATGGCCCAGATTTTTAGGCATTATGGCATTCAGTGTTGCAATGCCTAATTGATATAGGGATTTTCTCATTTTCAAAAGGGATTTAGGAACTTAGGAGCCAAGATCTTGAGCTCTGGCATGCCTAAATCCCTTTTGAAAATGAGATTTAGTCTCCTAAATCAGTTAAGCATTGCAACACTGAGTACAGCAACAGCTAAATACCTTTAAAAATCTGGGCCTATATCTGATTGTGTATTGAAATGTAATATTCACAGTCTACACTGTACTGACTAGCTACATAGGTCATTCAAGGAATTGAAACAATGCCATCACACTTATATAACAGTGCAAATTGTGCAGTTTACAATCCAGTATACAATTCAAAAAATTCACCAATGGTGAATATTCAAGGACACAGGCTAAACATTTGTGTTTCATGAACACTTGCACTAGTAAAGCTTGTATGCTTGAATGCTTGTGGAAAGTGAATGTGGAAGTGCTGTAAATAGGGCTGAATTACCACTATGAAGAATTTTGACTGCAGTATCCACTTGGTTCTGCGTGGGACATTTAGGCCAATATTCTCAAATTTTGAGTGTCCAACATTAGGCACCTAAATAAAAGGCCACATTTTCAGTGAGGCTGAGCACTGCGCTCTCATTGACGTCAACGGCAAACCAACACATCAGTAACTAATATTTGTTGCTAGCAAGATTCTTCCTTTAATTTTACTTACCAGTGCAAAGTTCCACATACCATAAAAGCAGTAAATGTCAAAAGCTATGGTGTTGCTAAGAACTATAGGAAACTAATATGAGTGTGTAGAAGTTTATAAAAACTATAACAATGCCAAGAGTGTGAACAATGAATTAGTTACATCTAATATTCAATTACAAATACACCGCTACCTGGATATAACGCGACCCGATATAACACGAATTCGGATATAACGCGGTAAAGCAGCGCTCCGGGGGAGCGGGGCTGTGCACTCTGGTGGATCAAAGCAAGTTCAATATAACGCCGTTTCACCTATAACGCGGTAAGATTTTTTGGCTCCCGAGGACAGCGTTATATCGAGGTAGAGGTGTATGTCATATATTACTGTACCTTGTCACCTTCTAGACCCTTTATGCCTGGAACACCAACATTTCCCTACACAGAGAAAGAAACCCCAAACAAATATTATAATTATATTTTTTTAAGAATAGTCACAGCAAGACTCAATGCTTATATTAATATTTGGTGAGCATTATCAAAAGCTTAATAACCTCACCACTTTCCATTCCAAATACTAAGTGCACTTCTTCAACCTAGTCTATGCTAATAAATGACAGTTATATCACTCTCATTCCTGGTACACCGCAATGTCTTCATAACATGTTAATAAATAATAACTGTCTCTTTTTAGCAGCGGATCTCAAAGCACTTTAAAAAGGAGATCAGTACAATTATCTGCATTTTACAGATGGGAAAACTTACACCCAGAGGGTGAAGGGATTTGCCTATGGTCACCCAGGAGGCCACTGGGAACAGAACACATATCTCCAGAGTCGCAGTCCCCATCCACTAGATGAGACCAGTGGTTCTGGGGGGCCACGGCAGGTTTCAGGGGGTCCAACAAGTATGGCCGGTATTATACTCGCTAGGGCTCAGGGCAGAAAGCCAAAGCCCTACCGCACAGGATTGCAGCCCGGGGCCTCAAGCCCCATCACCCAGGGCTGAAGCCAAAGATTGAACAACTGAGCTTCACAGTGCCCCCTGTGGCGTGGGGCCCTGGGTAATTGCCCTGCTTGCTACCCCCTAACTCTGGCTTTTATATGCAGAAAAACAATTGCTGTAGCACAGCTGGGCCGTGGAGTTTTTATAGCATGTTAAAGGGCCACCCGGGGGGGGGGGAAGTGGGGCAATTTGCCCCAGGGGCCCCCATGAGAGATTTTCGGGGCCCCTGGAGCGGGGTACTTCACTCGCTTCAGGGTCCCCGGAAAACTCTTGCAGGGCCCGGGCCCCCGGAGCTTCTTCCGCTCCGGGTCTTCGGCAGCAATTCGGCGGCGGGGGGTCCTTCCGCTCCGGGACCCGCCGCCGAAGTGCCCTGAAGACCTGCGGCGGGGGATCCTTCCGCCCCGGGACCTGCCGCCAAAGTGCCGGGTCTTCGGTGGCAATTTGGCAGTGGGGGCCCCCCGCCGCAGAAGACCCCAGGCCCCCTGAATCCTCTGGGTGGCCCTGGCATGTTAGGGGGGCCTCAGAAAGAAAAAGGTTGAGAACCCCTGGACTAGACCATTCTCCTATCTCAGCAGGGGTCTCTTCTTTTCAAATGACTGATATTCAGCGCCAATAAGGTGATTAGTAGCCTTTAGACTCTATTAAGTGGCCTGCTGAATGCTGAAGTGTTGCAGAGGCAGCGTAGGACCATTTGTAGAGTTAAGGTAAAGAACCATAGAAGATTAAGGTTGGAAGAGACCTCAGGAGGTCATCTAGTCCAACCCCCTGCTCAAAGCAGGACCAATTCCCAAATAAATCATCCCAGCCAGGGCTTTGTCAAACTGGGCCTTAAAAACCTCTAAGGATGGAGATTCCACCACCTCCCTAGGTAACCCAATCCAGTGCTTCACCATCCTCCCAGTGAAATAGTTTTTCCTAATATCCAACCTAGACCTCCCCAACTGCAACTTGAGATCATTGCTCCTTGTTCTGTCATCTGCCACCACTGAGAACAGCCGAGCTCCATACTCTTTGGAACCCCCTTTCAGGTAGTTGAAGGCTGCTATCAAACATGAATAAGGGTTGCAGAATCAGACCCTATATTATTAAAATACATTTTACTGCTACTAATTGCTATTAAAGAAAATAATAAAAATTCTTTAAAAAAAAAAAAGCTAAATTATGTATAAAAAGGAACATTTCAGAAGCTACTTGCTACTTTTCATCTCAGATTATCCTAATTTAGAATTCATTATACCTAGACTTGGAAGGATTGGATTTTTATCAGTAAATGTCAGTTTCCCCATACACATATAAACTGAAGAAAAAATATTTCTATTGATAATAAACATTAACAGATAGACAAAGTAAGTAAAATATTGCTTAAGAACTTATTAGAGTTTGATTTAAGGATACACTGTTTACTTGAAAAAAGCAACAGAGAGTCCTGTGGCACCTTTAAGACTAACGGATGTATTGGAGCATAAGCTTTCGTGGGTGAATACCCACTTCGTCGGATGCATGTCTGTTTACTTGGTATATTTTGACGTGATGTTGACAATTTGTTTTTTAATGGTTATAAAGTTTTAACTTTTTGAATCTCATTGTCTATTGTCATTAAATAAGTATTGTCTCCCCCCCCCACTAGTTTCCTGCAACTGTGAAAATTTAAAAAGATGAAAATAGAAAAAAATGCTTAAAAATAAACATAGATATTATCTGTTGAAATTATAAAAAAAATATAAATTGAATTCTGCCAAGCCTAATTAGATTGTATATGTAATCTATGTTTGAGCCACCAACTCAGGTTCTGTAGCTACCTCTTAACTCATTTTTGCTCAGTTCTCAACTAGCCTTCATTCAGTGCATGCACAAAATTTTCACATGCATGCTGCACTCATTTGTGCATACAAAACTCTCATATTTTGCATGCACAGCAGAACGTTATACATTCAGTTACCTGATTTTCCAACAAATATACAATTTTCCATGGACACAACATGAGGCCATCTGAAAATTAAAACCTTTATCTCTTTGTCATTCACATGGAAATAGAATAGGTGTGCCAGTTATTAAGAGCCAGGCAGAACCTGGCTCTTACATAGTTATTCAATGAGGGAAGGCTGGAAGGAGCTTTCCCCCTGTCTGCGAGGCACAAAGGCTGCCCCATCCTTTCTCCACAGAGGCACATGACAGCCCTAAGGAGGTAGGAAGGGAAAAGGTGGGAATAAGGCAGTGCTAATGCTCTAGACCTATGCCTGTGGGAAAGTAAGTCAGACCCCACAATGAGGAGTGTAGCAAACACACTGCCTGCTCTGTCTGGATGCTTATAGGTGCTCCAGGAAACATTATGTTCCCCTAAAGCAAAATTCATTCCACCACCCACACTGCTCTTTTCTCTGGGTTGTTCCTAAGCAGCACAATGTAGCTTTAATGAGGCGCCTTTTAATGTTCAGATCATACTTTCTCCAACCCTAATACAAGAATGTGTTTGACATTTAAAAAAAAAAGGCTGTGCATATTATCAGTTATAATTTTTGCTACACCCACATGCATTTAAAGTTAGAATTTGGACAAGTTTCCAGTAGCCTGTAATCTTTTTCCACATCTGTTTACCTCATTGAAAGGAAGTTCTCCTTTACTGTAACCATAATCGGCCCTGTGCTTACTGTGCAACCTTAAGAATCAAACTAGAAGTGTTTACCCCTGAAACAAAAAGCAAGATTTCCAGTAAAAGAGTTTCATAAAGGTACCTTCAATCCACGAGTTCCTGGTAGCCCAATATGACCCTGTAGCGAGCAGGGAAAGAAAATGACAACTGTCAAGCTGTATATAGCCAATCATCCACATACAATTAGGACCTGAATCCACTGCCCATTCAAGTCAATGGAAAGACTCCCATCATTTCAGTGGGTGGTAAATCATGGCCATGGTTACTAACAATGAAACTTACAGTAGTTCCAGGGGGACCAGCGAAGCCAGGCCTACCAGGAATTCCTGCAATCCCTTTTGAACCAGTATCACCCTGTCCAGGAAACATTGAATCATTAAAAATAAATTCACCCACCTTGATCACATGCTTATTGCTTTATATTATCACAAATTTAAAAAGGAAGAGAAACTAAAAAGCCCAGGTATATAAGTTTAGATATATTTCTACCAGTATTTGTTTGCTTTGTTTAGATAAAGGGATTTCTGTGATACTCATCACAATGAGAACCAGTCTGCAAAAAAACGCCAGCATTTTCTTCTGTCTGTTAGGTACCTAGAGTGCAAGCAATTCAAACAGGGATGTCCCAGAGTGTAGTTTTTCGGAGCCCGATGGCCAGCTCCTTCTTAATCGCCAACCTAAGGTGATGTGTGTCCACTCAAACCTCTGGGTAAACAGAACTGGAAAGACTGTGTGTGTCTGTCTGTGTCTATATCTGTGCACGTGCACAGACAGGGGCGGCTCTATGTTTTTTTGCCTGGAGCCGCCCCTGTGCACAGATATATTTTATAATATACACCCACAAACACAACATATAAAATGTGGTTGTATCTAGCTTCCTCTTCAAAAGTCCAGTCCGTTTGCTACTCATTATACTCTACGATTCTGTCCAGCAATTTTAACTAATAGGAACTAATCTATTCGTGTTACTATAATAGCATCTTCACTATCATGATCCTGTTAATATTCATTTCTAATAATCAGCATAGACTTCTTTAATTAAGCCCTCTATTAAAGACTGATATCCCCTCTTTATGTGTTATTCAGAACATAGTTTGCCCATGTTTAATAATAACATTAAATGTTAAGCTGGACAGAGTATAGTACTAAAATGTGCATCTGGAAAGTTACTGTCACACTGATTTATGTCTTTTGTTAAATTATCTTTAATAACAAAAAATAATTATTTCAGACCAGAGACCAAAATTAATTCAAAGATAAAAAGATCCAATTAATAATTGTTGCTTTTTTGTCATGTTTAAAAATTTACAGCAATTTTACCAGCTGTTCTGACTTACTGTTCTTGTGAAATCAACACCACCACACACCGGGTGAATATATTCTCCAGTCTTGGGTCTTCCTCAAGCCACTACTGTTATAGATGCCAACCCTAGCACAAGCATTGCAGGCTTGCTATCTGTTACCATGGGCAGCAGCAGAATACCTCTCTCCCCTCCACCCCCACCCCCACCCCGCTATATTCTTCTGCATGTGTCTTTCTGATTTTAAATCCTGGCAATAGTTACTTTGGGACAGATCCTCAGGTGGTGTAAATTGTCATAGCTCCATTGACTTTAACTGAGCTATAACAACTTGTGCAAGTTGAGGATCTGGCCCCCGTCGTTGAATTTGCAGAATGTAGACTGGAGGGTTGGTACCTTTTGGACAGCCCACACAATTGCTCTCCGTTATATGAGTGATCAGAGGATTGTTCTGCCATTTCCTCCGGAACAATCGGTGGTTATTCGTGTGATTTCTGTTTTTAAAATCTATTATTTAAACCACATCCAGACTGGTAAATGAGTGACCTTCAAGAGCTCTAGAGTTGGGTCTGAGCTACTGGGTTTGGATATTTATCCAAGACATTTCCAAGTTTACCCAAACCTCCTTTATGTGAAAACTGAGCTGGAAATATACTGAGAACAGGTTTGCATGTCTAAGCAAGGCTGGGTTCCTTCCTAGCTGGGAGAGTTTTAGAGGGGCTACATGGGCTGCAGATTAACTTCTATCTGATAGTTCTCTTACAGAGAAAGAGTTGTCAGTCAGACAGATGCAAGGATGCTGTTAGCAGTCTGAAGAATCCTTCCTCCTCATCATCCCTGCAAATGGTGTTTGTGGTAGACGAACGACAGGATCCTCCTTCCCGTGGGAGAGCCCAGCCCCAACCACAAGAAGGTGTGCTGTTTTGTTACTTTTTTAAAGAACCCACCAAGGAGAGGGATCTCTCTCTCTCTTACTTTCTTCCCAATAACAGGAGCCCTAGAATCATAGCAACTTTTGTCCTCTGCACAGCCCCAACATTTAGGAGAGAGGGACTCAAATATTGTCTAGGACTAGTTATGGAACAGGGAATTTATTTGTATGTACAGACTACTCCCAAATACCTTCGCTTCTATAGACAACTAGCCTGGTGAGACTCATTTGCTTCTGTCTTTACATATTGAGGCCAGGGGCCAAAATCCAAATCCTTATTGCCCTACTCTAGCAAGTAGTCCAGTTAACTTCTATGGAACTACTTGTGTGAATAAAGGCAAACTGGACTCAGCCCTGGGTCACCAACCTGACTGAGGAACAGCTCTCATATGCTGCCTTCTGATGCATGCATCTCCCAGAAAGCCATGTCACTGAGAAACTAGACCGGGCCCCTCACAAAGAGAATGATACTTACTGTTCTTCCCCAAGGGCCTTCAGGACCTGCTTCTCCTAGAAATCCTTTCTCTCCCTACATAAGGGTAAAATAGATTATTTTAATCTACATAAAAAAAGTATAAATACATTAATAATAGATAGTTGAGGGAATAAATTCAGATTTTAAAAACTCTACCTTTAAACCCAAAGTACCTTGACCACCCTCTGGCCCTTGAGATCCTTGATAGGCCTAAAGAAAACACAGCAATTAAGACAAAGAGGTTAGTTTTTAAGATTACATAAAACAAAATACTGGTTACTTCAGAATTCCACACGCCATTTACCTCTATACCAGGATCCCCCTCTCGCCCAGGCAACCCAGGATCTCCACGTATTCCCTGTAAATGAACAAAATCCCATCAAGTAAACGTACAAAAACAGATTGTGCAGTTTAGCAAGATGGAAAAATTAGGCTTATTCATACGATACCTTTGGACCAGGTGTACCTTTCCTTCCTCGAGATCCGGTAAAACCCTAGATAAACAATTAATGCATTGTTTTTTATTAGATTTTTTAAAAAACCACGAAGGCCAACTGTGATCATTATAACTGTGACAGTATACAAGCAGGTATAGGTATCTAGTATCTGACAAACCAATGAAATTCTGGCGGGGCATGGCTATTTAATCCTATTTTCTCAATTTTTTAAATATCAGCCATATATATATATATAATGGAATGTATTTGGCTTTCTTAATAATAGTATAAAATCATAATATTTTCCTTGTACAATAAACAAGCACATATTCAGTATCAATAGCCCAATTACTGTATTCTAAGGTTTCATAGTTAAAGGCCCTATTCTGTAAATACATTAAATGGGCATAGTGCTTATTATTATGATATTAGATGGTGCCTTTGGGCACAGCCCTGAGTATGGGATGTGCGTAGTTGCACCGCCTTGCTGGATTCCAGCAACTCTGGAAGGCACTGTGTCTCAGACACACCTCGAGGGCACAGTTCTTCTGGTACTGCTTTCTTATACTGGGGAAATGAGAGACTAAGTGTATGCCTATACTACCCGCTGGATCGGCGGGCAGCAATCGATCCAGCGGGGGTCGATTTATCGCGTCTAGGGGGGAGCGGCAGCAGTCAACTCACCACAGTGAAGACACCACGGTGCGTAGATCTAAATACGTCGACTTCAGCTACATTATTCACGTAGCTGAAGTTGCATAGCTTAGATCGACACACACACACACACACACACACACAATGTAGACCAGGCCTAAGAAGAGTAATCTACTATAGCCCTTTACAGATCACAGCATACTTCCTGCTGCCCATGTCCAGCCACCTCCACTGACTGATTCATAGGGAGGTAGAGCCAGACATCTCAATTGTACCATATCAAGTGCTAGGTTCCAAATGAAAGTAGATTCTGTCTCCTAATCCCACTGCACCACAGGGAAGGGAGCAAGCAGAGAAGGTTTTCCTTGAAAACTTTGGGACCCTTGGTTCCCTTCTTCTCTCCAGGGATCAGACAGAGGTTCTGAGGGAAGGAATATAGGAACCAACCGAGTTTATGGGGAGGAGTGATCAAAGGCAAACAGGCTGGGCTGTTGGTATGTGGAGAACTGACGAGTTGAGCTAGATCTCAGCAATGGTAGGAAAGCAGCCATTAGTGGGCTATTACTTCTCCTCCCACATGGGTGAGCAGGGATAGGTAGGCAGGGGAATAGAGTGGGTGGAGCTGAGCTGGCCAAAAAGAGGAAGTACCTGTACCAGGAAAAACACTGGTGCATCTTATTTCCCCACAGAACAAGGAGAAAGCAGGGACTTAATTCTGTGGCTTTCAGAGACCGTACAAGAACATGCTGCCCCTTACTCAAGCTGGTCAAGGTGTCAATCCAACCATGTATGGGAAGCTTCAGTACTGAACTTTGGTCTGTTAAACACTAATACAAAGCCATGGTTGAGAAATGTTAGTGGCAAATTCCTCCCAATGGAGCTCTACTGAAGCCAATTAATAAATCTGGCCCTAATTGTTTTAGAGTTTGTTTGCCTAAAAGTAACATCCCATACATAACACCTCTGCCCTGTAAGTGTTTTCTGCTCCCTCTATCCCTAGTCATTCTTTCCACTCATTTTTCAAATTGTATTTTTCTATTACTATTTAGGGCACAATCCTACTTAACTCAACGGGTGTTTTGACACTGAGATCAATGGGAGCAGGATAGGCTCCTGTCACAGGGTGACTGTCCCCTTTAAAAGTATATGGAGGCCAGCCACACCTGTACCATAATTAGTTGCTTCACAACCTGTAACACGCTGATGCACCCAGACCAGCAATCCCAAGACACAAGGAAATCGAAGCAAGACACGCAGGTGGTCAATCAAAATGTATAACCATGGCACAGTTAAGTCAGCAACAGCTGGAACAAAATGCAATAGCAGTCCAAATGGCAGGTATGTAGCAACAGGCCCTGAGTAACCGTACACACACACACACACACACACACACACACACACACACACACACACAAGAACACTGAACTGAGTTCAGGGAGCAGGAACCAGAAAAAAAATAGGAACAAGAAGCAGGAAGTAATAAGCAGGAAGCACGCGCACACACACACACACACACCCCAGTCATCACAATTTCCTTCTTTTTTCCCCCAAACGTTCAACAGCACCTTGCGCAGCCCCCCCCCCTCCAAAAAAAGCCGCGATCACGATCGTGATCTGCGGCACTTCGGCGGCAATTCGGCAGGAGGTCCTTCACTCAGAGCTGGAGTGAGGGACCCTCCGCCGAATTGCCGCCGAATAGCTGGAGGTGCCGCCCCCCTCCGGAGTGGCCGCCCCAAGCACCTGCTTGCTAAGCTGGTGCCTGGAGCCGGCCCTGCCCAGGGCCATAGGTTATACCTCCGATTCAATGCAGGGGGTGGATGCTGTTGCTATGGTGCAACTTTCCCAATTGGCCACATGACATCATCATACACAGAAAAAGAGTGTCCTCTTCCCTTTTTGTTTCCCTTTCAGTACACAGTATATCTCGCTGGTTAACAACAAGTTCTCCGTGTGATAAATGTGCTTGCCACTCTCTGTACCCTTCAGCTCCAAGATCATGCCACAAACATCAAAAATTCTTCCAGATCCTCATCTAACATATGATGCTTGTCCAGGATAGAATGCATGAAGTCTTGCACAGATGTGCTTGTTAAAACTCATATTTCCTAGTCCCATCAGTTGGCTCTGAGGGGTGGGATGAAACTTTTCCATCAGCAGAGGCAACTTATTCCTCATAGGTTGGCTGAAGAGCCAATAGATAAGGGTTTCTCCAGTACTTTCATGAAGTGTACACCCAATATCATATAAGCTAAGACTCAATGCAATAGAAAGGGATGTATCTAGACATTCCTCCAGTATGCAAGCTACACATTTCTTCAGAGTCTCATGCAGTCTCTCCACTATCCCATTTCCTTGGGGATGGTACACAGGAGGTTTATAATGTACTTTAACAATATTCCTCAGAAAACCTTCAAACCATCTTGATACAAAAGGTGTCCCATTATCTGAAACAAGGCTCTCTGGCAGGCCAAACATCACATATAAAATGATTAGGCAAGAAATGAGCTCCTTTCACGTGTCTTGTGAAATTATGAATGCAAATAGATAAAGTGAGTAATAATCTATAACAGTGAACAGAGTATAGCCATGGGAACTGCGCCCAGGTCCCAATTGCATGCATCAGTCTAAGTCACTACAGGCTTCCTTGGATCAAAATAAGCATGGGATTGGATCCCAAAGGGGACTTGATGCAGGGTTTCAAAACCCTGCTTTGTCTCTTTAGTCCAAACCAACTGGCCACAAACTAAAATGTGGCAAAGCATGGCAACCTCTATATTGAGCTAGGCCAAGGAATGAACATAAAATGCTACTATCAGTGGGTAATGGTAACAAAGCAACAGCATGGAGCCATTCAGATGTTGGTTTCATACCATCGACAGACAGAATTCCCTACAAACTATACAGCATCTTTTGTTAAACTGCACTTGACTGCATTCAAGGCCTGGTCTACACTATGAGTTTAGGTCGAATTTAGCAGCGTTAAATCGAATTAACCCTGCACCCGTCCACACAACGAAGCCATTTACTTCGACATAAAGGGCTCTTAAAATCGATTTCTGTACTCCTCTCTGAAGAGGGGAGTAGCGCTGAAATCGACATTGCCGGTTCGAATTAGGATTAGTGTGGACGAAATTCAACGGTATTGGCCTCTGGGAGCTATCCCACAGTGCACCACTGTGACCGCTCTGGAAAGCAATCTGAACTTGGATGCACTGGCCAGGTAGACAGGAAAAGCCCCGTGAACTTCTGAATTTCATTTCCTGGTTGCCCAGCGTGGAGAGCACAAGTGACCATGCAGAGCTCATGAGCACAGGTAACCATGCAGTCCGAGAATCGAAAAAGAGCATCAGCATGGACCATACGGGAGGTACTGGATCTGATCGCTATATGGGGAGAGGATTCCGTGCTAGCAGAACTACGTTCCAAAAGACGAAATGCCAAAACATTTGAAAAAATCTCCAAGGGCATGATGGAGAGAGGCTACAATAGGGACTCATATCAGTGCCACATGAAAGTTAAGGAGCTCAGACAAGCGTACCAGAAAACCAAAGAAGCAAACGGAAGCTCCGGGTGAGAGCCGCAGACATGCCGCTTCTACGCTGAGCTGCATGCAATTCTAGGGGGGCCACCACCACTACTCCACCCCTGACCGTGGATTCCGAGGAGGGGGTACTCTCAGCCATGCCTGAGGATTCTGCGGACGGGGAAGATGAGGATGAGGAGGATGAGGACGAGCTTGCAGACAGCACACAGCACTCCGTTCTCCCCAACAGCCAGGATCTTTTTCTCAGCCTGACTGAAGTACCCTCCCAACCCTCCAAGGCGGTATCCCAGACCATGAACCCATGGAAAGGACCTCAGGTGAGTGTACCATTGTAAATCTAAAACATGGTTTAAAAGCAAGCGTTTTTTAATGATTAATTTGCCCTGAGGACTTGAGATGCATTCACGGCCAGTACGGCTACTGGAAAAGTCTGTTAACATGTCTGGGGATGGAGCAGAAATCCTACAGGGACATCTCCATGAAGCTCTCCTGGAGGTACTCCAAAAGCCTTTGCAGAAGGTTTCTGGGCAGTGCAGCCTTATTCCGTCCTCCATGGTAGGACACTTGACCACGCCATGCTAGTTGCAAGTAATCTGGTATCATTGCATGGCAAAGCCTGGCAGCGTATGGTCCCGGTGTTTGCTGGCATTCAAGCAACATCTGTTCTTTATCTCGCTGTGTTATCCTCAGGAGAGTGATATCGTTCATGGTAACCTGGTTGAAATATGGGAATTTAATTAAGGGTCAGAGGTGGCCGTTTGGTTTCTGTTGGGATCTTCCCTGATACCAGCCATGCGGTGGGGGGGGAGGGGTAAAGCGATCATCCCAGAGAATTGGATGGGTGGTGGTGGGGTTTAGTTTGGTTTCTGCTGCTGCACGTTAACAGGAAAACCGCAGCACTCAACGGGCTTTGCTTGGTATGGGAAAGGAGGACGCTGCTGTAATGAAGGTTGCAGAAGCCGAAAGACAATGGCTTACCATGACTGCATGCAAGCCGAATTCTGTTTCCCGGCCCTGCATCTGTGATCTCTAACACCAAAGCTGCAGGCACGCAATATAAGATGCAAAATGCGACCTTGTACCGAAACCACGTGCTATGTAATGTGAATAGTGTTGTTCACCGTGAAAGAGTATAAGCATTGTTCTGTAAAATGTATCTTTTAAAATACTTCTTTCCCTTTTTTCCCTCCCTCCCGCAGCTGCAAATTTTTCAAGCCTCCCTCCTCTGTCCAGAAGGCTATCTCAGATAAGGCGGCGAAAAAAACGCACATGAGACTAAATGTTCTCGGAAATCATGCAATCGACCCACGATGAAAGAGCTCATCTGAATGAGTGGAAGGACACAGTATCAAAGTACAGGAAAGATGCCAGTGAACGTGAGGACAGGAGGGACCAACGTGAGGACAGGAGGGACCAACGTAAAGAGAGGAGGGACGCTCGAGATGAGCGGTGGTGGCAGGAAGATCAGAGGTGACGTCAGGAAGATCAGAGGAGGCAGGATGCAACGCTGGGGCTACTGCGGGATAAAACGGACATGCTCCGGCATCTGATGGAGCTTCAGGAACGGCAACAGGATCACAGAGTGCTGCTGCAGCCCCTGTATAACCGCTCTCCCCCCTCCCCAAGTTCCATAGCCTCCTCACCCAGACGTATAAGAACGCAGGGAGGGAGGCTCCGTGCACCCTGCCACTCCACCCCAGTGGACAGCCCAAGCAAAAGGCTGTCATTACTTTGAACTTTTGAAGTGGCCTTTTCCTTCCCTCCTCCTCTCCTCCCAAACCCCACCCGGGCTACCTTGTCAGTTCTCTCCCTCTTTTTATACTCAATTAATAAAGAATACATGATTTTTAAATGATAGTGACTTTATTTCCTTTGAAAGCAAGCTGTGATCGAAGGGGGAGGGTGGGTTGCTTACAGAGAATGAGTCAATCAAGGGGGCGGGTTTTCATCAAGGAGAAACAAACAGAACTTTCACACCGTAGCCTGGCCAGTCATGAAACTGGTTTTCAAAGCTTCTCTGATGCGCAGTGCTTCCTGGTGTGCTCTTCTAATTGCCCTGGTGTCTGGCTGCGCGTAATCAGCGGCCAGGCGATTTGCCTCAACCTCCCTCCCCGCCATAAAGGTCTCCCCCTTACTCTCACAGAGATTGTGGAGCACACAGCAAGCAGCAATAACAATGGGAATATTGGTTTGGCTGAGGTCTGAGTGAGTCAGAAAGTGTGCCAGCGACCCTTTAAACGTCCAAAAGCACATTCTACCACCATTCTGCACTTGCTCAGCCTGTAGTTGAACAGCTCCTGACTACTGTCCAGGCTGCCTGTGTATGGCTTCATGAGCCATGGAATTAAGGGGTAGGCTGGTCCCCAAGGATAACTATAGGCATTTCAACATCCCCAACAGTTATTTCTGGTCTGGGAAATAAATCCCTTGCTGCAGCCGTTTAAACAGATTAGTGTTCCTGAAGACGTGAGCGTCATGAACCCTTGCCGGCCATCTCACGTTGATGTTGGTGAAATGTCCCTTGTGATCCACCAGTGCTTGCAGGACCATTGAAAAGTACCCCTTTGCGTTTATGTACTGGGTACCCTGGTGCTCCAGTGCCAAGATAGGAATATGGGTTCCATCTATCGCCCCACCACAGTTAGGTAATCCCATTGCAGCAAAGCCATCTACTATGACCTGCATATTTCCCAGAGTCACTACCTTTGGTAGCAGCAGCTCAATGATTACTTTGGCTACTTGCATCACAGCAGCCCCCACAGTAGATTTGCCCACTCCAAATTGATTCCCAACTGACCGGTAGCTGTCTGGTGTTGCAAGCTTCCACAGGGCTATCACCACTCGCTTCTCAACTGAGAGGGCTGCTCTCATCTTGGTATTCTGGCGCTTCAGGGCAGGGGAAAGCAAGTCACAAAGTTCCATGAAAGTGCCCTTACGCATGCGAAAGTTACGCAGCCACTGGGAATCGTCCCAGACCTGCAACACTATGCGGTCCCACCAGTCTGTTCTTGTTTCCCGGGCCCAGAATCGGCATTCCACGGCTATAACCTGCCCCATTAACAGCATGATCTCCAAAGCGCCGGGGCCCGCGGTTTGAGAGAATTCTGTGTCCATGTCCTCATCACTCTCGTTGCCACGCTGCCGTAGCCACCTCCTCCTCGCCTGGTTTTTCAGGTCCTGGTTCAGCATAAACTGCACGATAATGTGTGAGGTGTTTACAATGTTCATGACTGCTGTCTTAAGCTGAGCGGGCTCCATGCTTGCCGTGGTATGGTGTCTGCACAGTTCACCCAGGAAAAAAGGTGCGAAACGGTTGTCTGCCGTTGCTTTCATGGAGGGAGGGCTGTACCCAGAACCACCAGTGACAATGTTTTTTGCCCCATCAGGCATTGGGATCTCAACCCAGAATTCCAATGGGCGGGGGAGTCTGCGGGAGCTATGGGATAGCTACCCACAGTGCAACGCTCTGGAAGTCAACGCTAGCCTTGGTACATGGACGCACACCGCTGAATTAATGTGCTTAGTGTGGCCGCATGCACTTGACTTTATACAATCGGTTGCCAAAAATCAAATTCTGTAAATTCGGAGTAATCCCGTAGTGTAGACATACCCCAACTGTATGCCAACTTGTTGGAGTTGGTGTAGCTGGTCCAGAATAGCATTATGCTCAGGAAGGGTCTTAGCAAAGATGAGAATGTCATCCTGGACATTATCGAAGAGCTGAGAGATCACTCTCAGAAAAACCCCAGGAGCAGAAACTACACCAAAAGGTAGCCATTGATAGTAGTACTTCCCAAATCATGTACTGAAAGTCAATAAAAGCTGTGAACTTTCAAGCCACAGGTATTTGCCAATAAATGGATCGGTAATCCAACTCAGAGAAAGTCCAGGATCTACTTACCTGGCATATCACCCCTTTGAAGGTTGGCAATTGAAACTGCTCATGTTTCATATATTTATTAACTGCTCTAAAATCTGTGCACATTCAAATGTTGCCATTCTTCCTTTATATGATAACTGTGGGTGAGCTCCAATCCAAATGTCAGGTATGTAACAGCAGGGCCTGGGTAACTCTACACACCCAATGCTATGTACATGCACAGAAACAGACACTGGAATACTGAGTTCAGGGAGCAGGAACCATGAAACAAACAGAAACAAGGAGCAGGAGGCAATAAGCAGGGATGCATCATACACACACCAGTCGTTACACAGCCTGAGGGGCGGGACTAAGGAGGGTCAGGTGATAGACTAATGGAATGAGAGTGAGGTCAGTCAAAAGTTGAAAGCACAAGGAGTGAGCAGGCAGGCGCTCAGGCTGGCTGGCTTCTGTGATAGGTCCTGCAAGGAAAAGGGTCATCCAGGGGAACCAGCCTGGGGCTGTATACCAGGTCCAGGAAGGACATGAGGCACTGAGCCCAGAAGGTGAGGGACTTTTCTATTTGGTGGGACTTTTTAGTTTGGACTCTTGCTACCCCAGAAGAGGTTATGTTTGTTGTGACTTGGCTGGAGAGCTAAGCCACATCTCCAGCACAGACTAGTGCACAAAGAGCCAGGGAGACCCACCTGGGGGGAGGGAAACTGAGGCACGGCACCGTGTTTGGCCAACAGGGAGCACTACTGAGCAGCCATGTCCCTATGACAGTCCCTTGTTCTTCTTGTGTGAATTTTATATGATTCTTTTATGTGTGGAGAGTGAGGTCACCATCTATTCAGTTCTAAGCCTCTCTACTGAGGCTGCCAATATCAATGCTAATGAGTGCAAATCGTGATAATGGTTCTCGTGATATTACTGTCTAGTGGGAACTGGACTAAGACCATTTCGTTTTAGAGACCAGTCAATTAACGTCAGATGGAAACAACTTGTGAGACTAATCACTAGCAGCTTGGGATGCATTTGAACTGGTGACCTGGCAGTAAAAGACTCCATTTCCCATTTACCAATCCTCTAAACCATATGGTCCCTCTCTCTTTAGTAGTCTAGCTTTAGATACAGTAGAGTTGCTAGTTCTTGTAAAGCAGAAACATAGCTTACTGGAGCTCCTTTTGGTCCGGGTGGACCAAAATCCCCTGGAACACCAACGAGGCCCTGCAATTAACAAACACAAATACCTGCATTGTGTAAAAAGAGGTACTTCATGAACAACTAACTTCTACTATGAATTATCAGTGCAACTGTAACCTGTATAAAATCACCACATACAAGCAAGATACATTACTGTCCACTAGGAGCACAAAGTCAATCTTACACCTGAATATTGAAGATAATGGAGTCTTGGAAGGCAGAGTCAAGCCTGTAAGCATTATAAGAATAATGGAAAATATTTTGGTTCCACTGGAACATTCGTTGTAATAATTTGTGTGGTGTTTATCTGAAAGTAATAAAAGAAGTGTGAAGAACATGGGAGATATCTGTATTATTTTTTATGAATATTGTATACACCTTTTTCTATTTGATTGACTATCATGATGTCTGCCACAGGGGGGACAAATAATTAACTTAGGCTATGTCTACACTACATCATTTACAGTGGCACCAATGCAGCTGTGCCACTGTAGTGCTTCTGGTGAAGATGCTATAAGCAGACAGCGAGAGCTTTCCTGTTGGCTTAATAACTCCACCTCCGTGAGAAGCGGTAGCTATGTCATTGGCACTTAGGTCAGTACAACTTACATCGCCTGGGGAGGTGACTTTTTCACACCCCTGAGCAATGTAAGTTATACCAAAGTAATTATAGCATAGACATAGTCTTAGTCCTCCTCTGCAGGATGGCAGACAATGGATACAGACAGCCCAATCGCTGATATTTAACCAAGCAATACAGGTATCAAGAACTGTAGTCCAAGGGGAGACTACTGGCCAAAGACTATTGACTTCCTAATGATCCACTGTAACAGAGTATTGGAGAATGGGGAGGGCAGTAAGAGATAAAGATGTTAAAATTTGCTATTAAAAATGTCTCTGCAGCAAGACCAGTTCCAAACCAGAGGACAAGATTGTGTAGGAGAAAAAGGAGTGCAGAATAATCTTGGATGCCCTGGAAGACACTAACTAAGACCCACTAAATAAGGAAGGGTCTTGTGTGCAGGTGTTTGTTGTTTTTCCCTAGATCTGTATATCGCTGTGCTGTGTCTAAGAGTAAAGTGTGTGTGTGATTTAGTAGTCCATATATGTAGTGAAGTGGAGTGGCCTCCCACACACCCAGAGGGGATGGAACCCCGCACCGAGCCCTGGTGGGCGGAGCCAGGCCATGCTCAACCCTCCCACCAGAAGTCAGTGGGTGGGACAGGAAGTATAAAAGGTAGGGCTGGAAGCTCAGTTGGGCTGCAGCTGCCAGATACCTCCTGCTTGCTCCAGAGCTGGGAGACTGCTGCAGGCCCCTGGGGAACTGAGGACTGGCCAGAGCCATACGCTGACCCGACCACGGAGTTGCCAGGAGTAGCACAGGCCTTCTACCCTGATGATCTGGACAACTCTTTGCAGACCCAGGTACAACCCAAGGGGGAGTTAGGAAGTGGCCCAGGGGCAGCTGACTCAAGACTAGCTGCAGCACCACCTGAGTTTAGGTCAGCTTATTATGGTCAGAATCCCCGCTGACCCAGTGGCAAATCTTGCTGCCACTGTTAGGGTGCTGGGCTGGGGTGCAGTGGAGTGGGTGGGCCTTGGCCCCCACCCCAACCCTGGGGTGACAATCTCCCCCTCTCTATGCCATGGAGCCAGTATTTGTCGGTCATCCACCAAAGCTAGGATGCCCGAACCCCTTGCTGCTCGGCCCTGACCACAGCCTGAGCCCTAGACTCCTGTTGCCCCACCCTGACTGAGGGCCTGGGCTACTGACCTGCTGTAGTTGCTCGACCCTGAACACAGGCCCGAGCTATAGACTCTTGCCGTGCCACTAAATCCCCATGACAGGCGACGCCCAGAAACGTAGTGAGGCGGACTGGCCTTCCCTGGACCCGGAAGGGGAGGAACCTTGCCGCTGAACCACTACACTGTTACTTGCTTTAAGTGTCACAAAGTCCCTGGAGGGTGAAATACTAATCTAGAGCACCCACAAATTGTGGATCTTGTGATTTGGGGGTCAGCACTGATCTTGGGGCACAGGGTAGCTGGACCACAGGGTCCCCCATCCTGAGAAGCAATACCAGACTTGGAGACTGTACAACAGGAGTATGCCTCAAAGACCAGATATAGAAAAGAAGTGTTTGAATGCTACTGCAACTCAGTACATGGGATCCAGAGGTTTGGATCCAGTGCAGTAGTCTGGTGAGTTTAGCACAAGGAGGAGTTTAGCAAGAGTAAATAGGCAAAGCTCCATGACATTTACTTCACTAATTTAAAAAGAACAAACACTAAAGCTAATGAAAAAGTGTTAAATAATGTAGAAAAATACATAGTGACAGATTCTGAGCAGTGTTTGACATTCTCACAGATTGATCTTTATGGGAATAAATAGAGGCGATTCATGGAGTTTAAGATTAAATGAGACCCTTAGGATCATGTAGCCTGACCTCATGCTTAACATCGGCCATAGAATTTCACTCAGTGATTCCTGCATCAAGTCCATAACTTCTGGTTCAGCTACAGCATATCTTAGAAAGACAATCCTGATTTAAAGATTTCCACCACTTTCTTTGGTAAGTTGTTCCAATGCTAATTACCTTAAGTGTTAAAACTAACTAGTGGATTTAAGGAATTGTGTGTAAATATATGCTTTAGTTAATATTACCCTAGGTCCTTCTTGGCCTGGTAAATCATCAGCCCCAGAGAAGCCTTCATTACCCTAGAAGCACAACAACAGACAAAAACAAAATTGAGTTCTCAACAGGTAAGATAATCACCTTATGGTGTATGTAGGTATGGAACAGTGATGTCTTTGTTTTCTGTATGCTGCACCTTAAAATTTCTAGACAGCTGCCATTTTCTTCCCAGAACAACTGTAAAGTCTATTATGCTGAAGGTTGCTAAGCATCTGGTTTTCGACCAGAACGGCCGATCGAAAAGGGACCCTGGCAGCTTCAGTCAGCACCATGTACTAGGCCAGCAAAAGTCCAGTCGGCGGCGCAGCAGGGCTAAGGCAGGCTCCCTGCCTGCCGTAGCTCTGCACGGCTCCCGGAAGCGGACAGCATGTCTAGCTCCTAGGCGCAGGAGTGGCCAGAGAGGCTCCATGCGCTGCCCCCACTCCAAGCACCAGCTCCGCAGCTCCCATTGGCCGGGAACTGCGACCAATGGGAGCGGTGGGGGCAGCGCCTGTGGGCATGGGCAGCACACAGAGCTCCCTGGCCAAGCCTCCACCTAGGAGGCAGACATGCTGGCCGTTTCCTGGGAGTTGCGCAGAGCCAGGGCAGGCAGGGAGCCTGCCTAAGCCCCACTGTGCCATGGACTGGGAGCCACCTGAGATAAATGCCGTCCAGCTGGAGCCCACACCACGAACCCCCTCCCACACCCAAACTCCCTCCTGGAGCCTGCACCTCAAACCCCTCCTGCACCCCAAATCTGTGCCCTACCCTGAGCCCCCACTTGCAGCCCAGAGCTCACACCCCCAGCCACAGCCCACGCCCCCTCCTGCACTCTGAACCCCTCGGCCCCTGCCCAGAGCCCCCTCCTGCACCCCAAACCTCTCATCCCTGGCTCCACCCCAGAGCCTGCACCACCAGATGGGGAGTCCTCACTTCCTCCTGCACCCCAACTTCCTGCCCCAGCCCAGAGACAGTGAGTGAGGGTGGGGGAGAGCAAGTGACAGAGGGAGGGCAGATGGAGTGAGTGGGAGGCGGGGCCTCAGAGAAGGGGCAGGGCAGGAGCAGGGCAAGGGTGTTCAGTTTTGTGCAATTAGAAAGTTGGCAACCCTAATTACAGAGGAGACATTCTGTGCTACCTCATTAAGATTTTTACTTCTGTTCTTCCTAGGAAAACAATCCTAAATAAGTCATTTTAGGGTGAAGATATATAGTTTCTTTTTGTGTATTGATATCAGATACCTAAACAACATATTAACACATTCAAAATACTGTGTTCAATTCTAGGTATAGCAAGGTTGTTTTGCAGTGTGTATGTAATATTGTTCTCTCTCTAAAGCATAGTACCTTCACTCCTTGGAATCCCATGATTTCCACAAGCCCCAGTTCTCCCTGATCTCCCTGAAATGTTAAAAAAATAACTACTGGTAATTCAGTCCTGGACACAAATATTTAATACACATGTAATATGTCTGTGTAAACCTCCAGCAGAAATCTAAAACAGAAATGCACTAAATAGTATCAGAGGGGTAGCCGTGTTAGTCTGGATCTGTAAAAAGCCACAGAGAGTCCTGTGGCACCTTTAAGACTAACAGATGTATTGGAACATAAGCTTTCATGCGTCTGACGAAGTGGGTATTCACCCACGAAAGCTTATGCTCTAATACATATGTTAATCTTAAAGGTGCCAGAGGACTCTCTGTTGCTTTTTACTAAATAGTAATGAGTTATCAAGGATCCCAATACACTTTACATAGAAATCTTTATATTGGAATCCCACGCCTATAATTGAAATACTATAGCAGTTTATGTATTGTCTATGCAAGGATCACTCACTCACTACTGAAATGCAGCCACCCGTGGGGTGGAACATAGCAACCCTTCTGGACCAACAACACAACACAGCAGTTTTTAGGAGGGGGGATGAAAAAATGCTTTCAACTGAAATTACTAGGAAAATTTTAGTTATTCAGAGTGTAACAAGTGACCCAAGAATTTGGCAAAGACACTATGGGATCATTTAAAGAGCGCAAACAGTCAGAACTTCAGTGACAAAACTTATCAGCAGTTCATTACCCTGTAGAACCATGCTGGAGAAATGGTTCAGTCTCCACTCAGAGAAAATAATGCCATCTACTGAGTCATCATCATCATCATTTTCGGCAGCACCCTGTTTTTTCCATGAAGGTTTCCCATCCTAGTACTGACAAGGTCTGAGCTTGTTTCTCTTGCTTTTGAGATCACACCCATAGTGAAACTGATACAGCAGAGAAAATGGCAAGCTCAACTTGGGAGAGAGAAATTAAAAAACAACCTTTTCTCCTTTTGCCCCAGGTTCTCCTCTGTTTCCTGGTGTTCCAGATACCCCCTAAGAGAAAAATTAAATAGTTAGTACTAACAACTGCTTCCAAGACATAAGAAATTTGCAATTATGATTACCACTGCAGTGCAGACATTGCCATAATGTGTCTTGCATTTCTGTGATACACTACAAGATGCACCACAGAGATGCTTCCATGAGGATTTAAAGCGTTTAGACACATGTACTTACCTTGAAGCCCTCTGCTCCTGGTAATCCTTTGAGACCTAGAGGACCTTGATCACCCTTTGAAAGAAAAGAACACTATCAACCAAGAAAATACATTTGCACTAACTAGAACTGCAATAAGTCAGTTTATCTATCTAGTTTGCTGCCAGATCAGTTTGATGATGATTTCCCTGTAAACCATATTGATTTCCTAGCATTTTCCAACAGATATTACTAATTCAAATCATAAACAAGTTATATGGACTAGTACCTTAGCTGCAGTAAATCACTGTAGCTCTACTGACTTTAATGAAGCTATGCCCTAAATTAGCTATGGCTCTAAATTATTTCTGATAGCAGATTCATGGTTAACATTTCATATTTACAGATGAAGTATTCTGTTTAATATTTTGGCAATGGCAACATGTTTCTGGGATACTTCAAATCACAAGTACATTGTTCATTTTCCCTTTTATATTTCACATAAAATACATGGCAAAAAAGTTAATAGGCTGCTCAGTTTCCTGTTTGATTCTGAACTTTGGCTTCATGCAGAATATAATGCAATACATACCCATTCACCATGTAACCCTCTCATTCCTTTTTCACCCTTAGTGCCCACTAAACCCTTAAAGGAAAATAAAATAAAATGTGATACAAACAAATGAAAAAAAATCAGATATTTTTATATACTTGAACAATAAGTTAGTCATACTTTTGGACCAGGCTCTCCAGTGTTTCCATAATTTCCCGGGTTACCACGGACTCCCTATTAACAAGAAAAACAGTTTCATTGTTTAGTTTTAAGTGAATATAGTGCTAGTGAGTGTCATTGGAAAGACTGCATTGGGGTCTGAAGTTCTTTTTATATCCACACAAGAGTCAATGCAAGTTTTCCCCTGCTGCCAATCAAGGTCTTTAAGCCAGTCCTAGAGACTGAAGACCTCTACACCCATTCTGCCCTTAGCTTCTCTACTGAATCTTGCAACACCATCTAGTGGCAATTGTAATTGGGACTGAGTGAGCAATCTAGAAGAATTTCCAGTGTTAACTACACAGTTGGATTAAAGCATGAGGATATCGTCACATCACAGCCAAAAATGATACAATGCAAGCTCAACAGGGCTCACGCACTGGGGCTAGGAGCTTGGGTGCAGGAAAGAAGCCGGTCAGATGACAAGAGAGCGCAGTCACTATCGATGATCTTTTTATACTTTGGGACTGGCTCCTGAAGTGCCAGCTCTCATGAGGTGACATCATAAAGTGACACCAAGACTACTGAAATCAAACCTGTGATGTTTAGGTTTAACTTGACAAGTTCAGACAGCTGACATGAAATTGAATATGTCTATTTCCTGAATCATAAGAGGGACTTCTGCTCTTTAGGAATGAGACTAAAACTAATTTCCCATATGTGAGACTGTGTTAGAATTGCATGTTATCACTTTAAGAGTGGGGTGGCATTCCTGGTCCTGCTTGCAGGCTAGGGGGCTCTGTAGCAAAGCATGAGCACAGAGTCAGTAATGAAAGAGCCAGCTTAAAGCAGGATGAGGTGAGCTGTGCCTTGCTGCCTTAGGGAGCAGCCTGTTTTCTCTCTGTGTATTTTTGGGTTCTTGTGTGATATTGTTCTGAATTCTAAGAAATAAAGTAGTGTTAGGTTGCAACCTTCCAGCAATAGTATTTATGTTTTTTATCTAACTTCTGTGAGTATTCTGAGAACATAAAACAATAGAACATGGATTCTCAACTCACAGGTCATGACCCCCAGCAATATCGGGGGTCATGACTACCCTCTTTTTCTTTATGGCTAGATTAGAAAGGGGTCCTGAAACTGGTTTCTGTTGTAACATGGGATCAAAGGATGGAAAGGGTTGAACCACAGACCACTGAACAAACTTTGGTTAAGGAAGCTGCAAAATCCTTTGGTCACAAGGTTTCAGCAGGAGCCTGGACCAGAAAGGGAAGGAGCAGGTAGTTCATTGCCCCTCTGCTGAAGCTCCCTTTTGTCCACCATGTACAGCAACGGTGAACATGTTTTCAAAGCCGCCAGTCTGCATTACTGAGCAATGCAGACTATACAATGAAGGCATGTTGTCTTATTTAATATTAAAGATAAAGCATAAATGGTAATTACCAGATTTCCAACACTGACAGACTTTCCTTGTTCTCCCTTCTCTCCTTTTTGCCCCTGGTGCAGGAGTAGAAAAATGGACATCATTTCTACACAAAAATTAAAAATGATCTTCACAAATAGAAAGTTGATTTTTAAATTATACCTTGGGCCCTGTTGTTCCTTGATCTCCTGGTCTCCCATGGGCACATTTACATACTGTATTTCCAGTAAGATCCTGTTGAGCGCTTGCTCCGCACTGACAATGAAGATACATGTTTTTTATTTTTTGCATTGCAAAGAGTGAGTTGAAGGACATGACTGATTTGATGGCATGGGGAGCTGCCATCTCTGTTCTCCACAAACGGCATTAGAAAATGTTCCTGAATCATATAACAGAGCTGGCATTAGGCACACACATCAGGTGCATGGCTTTGGAGAGTTCTTGCTCTGTCAGCTTTCACATTAAGCAGAACTGAATTTAGTGGCCTGCTGGGAACCCCATACGTACCTTGAGAGGTACACGCTACAGGCCCAGTCTCACCAGTGATGGTGGAATTAGGGGTGCTGCCACACCCCTGGCTTGAAGTAGTAATAACAAACACCAAATACATGGTCTCCATCATCAGCATCCCCAATATAAAAATTGTTCCAGCACCCCTGAAGCTCACTCTCAGCTACTAATGCCCTGCCCCATTTCCAGATGATGAAGCCCTTCTGAATCTGCATAATAATGACAACATCCTGAGCCTCATTCTATCCCTTCTTCAGTCCCTTAGCAAAAACCATCTTGATCCACCCAGCCAAACACTTCCCCTCCTCCCCATGTGACATGTGATTTGGGGAAGTCTCCCTGAGGCCCTGTATACCTCATTTTGCACAGAACACTGCAAAACCTGTGCTCACTCTGTAGGTTAGTGCTGAAGCAAAGGAGTTCATGAAAGAAAGCACATAGCCTACTCACAACATCCAAAAGCTCACAGCAGCCTTCCGAGTAAGCTTTATCTGCGTCACAGTGCATTTCAAGTTGTTGTAAATCCACCTGACACATACAATCATTGGATTAAACTAATGTGAGCAATAGCAAATGTGCTAAATAAACGGGCTAAGAAAACCCCTCAGTGCACACGCGTGCAAATTCACGCACTCACACCTACTCATTTTGTGCTCCTCGTCACATAGACACATTTGCCTCCATCTGCATCAGCTACATACACTCAGTCTACACACACAGTTGCGGACATTGACCAATTGTTCCTCCCCACACCCATTTTTTCCATCCCTCACTAATGAATTCAATACAAATTCTGTATCCGGAGTAGCTGCAGAATCTGGCTCACATTAAAAGAGCAAATTCTGTCTCTGCTGCTTTTCTCTTTTTAAATTCTAAATTACTCAGTCTGATTTCCTTGAATAATGCAAAATTTCAAGTCAAATACTTGCTGTATGCTCTATTATCCACTAATAAAATGACAAAGGGTAAACAATTTTAAAAATCTTATTGGCTTTTCTCACTCTTCTGTGTTTGCTTGCATTCATAGCCTACAGAAATACTAAATCAAAATACAGTTGCCTCTAGCATAAAGCCTGTGCTAGGTCAGTAATTGCATTTGTTATTATATTTATATGTAGGAAGTATTTCACTGCTATTCTGAATGCTGATACTACAAATCTTTATTGCACAAAATAGTCACAACAATTTTTAGAGTCACATGCTCACCGCCAGAGGGAACTCTAGCTAAAGTAATAAAATATTGCTGTATGCCACTTATAGGAAAAATATTGAATAGATAACTGTATGAAAAGTTGCTACTACTTTTGTGTTAATTAAAAGCCTGCTCCTGTACCTCTAAAATTAATGAGTTTTGTCATTGATTTCAGTGGGAGGAAGTGGAGAGAAAAAAGGAACCTGCTGGAGATATTAAATTTTAAGGGGCAGAGGGAATTTAAATGCAACAGATCCATTTGAAAAGTTCACAAACAAAAGGATATAAACTGTAGCTAAGGAAACTTCACCTTATGGGAGATTGCACAGAGGATAGTTAGTGTCTGGAATGGAATCCCACAGGCAGCACGATGAGCAATTATGAACAATTGCAGTGCCCGGTTTACAATGGCTCCAGTGGCTCCATGGAGCTGGGCCCATGCTCAGAAGGGGCCCTGGCCTGTTCCACTTGCACTGTGCCCTGAGACCCTGCTGGCTCCCCTTGCTCACCACTTGCTCCTCTCAGCCTGCCCGCCAGCTGGCCAAGGGCTCCTCTCTGCCCCCTGCCCCCACCCCCCTGGCCAGAACTCAGTGCACCTCTGGCTCTGGGCAGTCTCTGCTTCCTACCACCTGTCTCCCTGAAACTGAGCTGCCTGGGACTGGTGCAGAAGCCTGGCCTGTCTCAGCCAGGTGGGTGTGTGGTGGAAGTCAGTGTGAAGGGCTTGGTTGGGCCCCTCCAGGCAAGTGCATCTTGAGGGACCCTGGCCGGGGCAGGTCCTGGCCTGGCTGATCGCGCCACTCCCAAGGGGATGGAGCGATTCCCGGCCCTGGGACCAGCCCGGGCTGTGCTGCCGCCTCAGCCCGGCAGACACTGTCGCCTCCCAGCAGGGCTGGTGACTGTGGCCGGGAGGCATGGCTTGGGGGAGTGGGTCTGTGGGGAGTATGGGGGGGTGATGGGCTGTGAAGGGGCAGGGAGGTTCTGTGTGTGCTGGGGCACTAGGGAGTGGCGGTTATGTGGGGGGTGCTGGGCAGTTGTGGTGGGGCTGTGGGCAGGGGTGGTGTTGTGCAGGGCGCTGTGCATTTGTGGGTGGGTCTGGGGGGCCTCTGGTCATAGGGAGTTGGGGGGTGTTGGGCGGGGGGGAGCTGTGTGGTATAGCATGGGCCTGCCCGCGAGGGGAAGGGCTATGTTGACAGCACAGAGCCGGGCAGGCCACTGTGTGTCTGGCAACTGCCGGTTTGTAAATAGTGCCCCCGCATTGGGCAGAGCGGGGCCGCCCCTGCCTTGCCATGCCCCATTGCCTCTGGCTGGCTCCTGACTCCGGAGACTGACCTCCCCGCACCATTCTCCATTGCCTCCATGGGGGCCCACAAAAGGTTAATCCAGCCCTGAACAACTGTATTTAGAAAAAGAATCAGGTGGACACAGAATAAAAACACTGAACATTAACTAGGTTCACTGACCTAGCCTAATGGCTTTCTTCTCTTATATTTCCAGTAGATGACACTGTGCAGTAACATTACTCATGCTAGATGAGCTACTTACCAAAACAGGAGACTCTTCAACTGATCTTTTTACCAGCAAAGTATATCCGTTTCCATAAACACCTCTCTGTTCATTTCCTGGAACTGCACTGACCTCCTGACAATCAATCAATAATTTTGCATCATCGCCTTTCACACTTAATGCTAACTTGTGCCAAGAACCATCAAAAGCCTTGTCCACATTGTTGAATGTCCTGAACATGAGTGTTTTGGATGGAGTGGCATGAAAGAAATCCAGAGATTTTTTGTCACGCAGGAAGCGAATACCAACTCTGGTTTTGCCAGCAGAATCACTAACTTGCCATAAATTCCACACATTTTGTGGAGTGTCTTCCAGCATCTTAAAAGTAGCAATGATGGAAAATTCTGAAGGCAAGCAGTCAGGATGACCACTAAAACAAGAACACATGCAGTCCATTTAAAGTCTACATATTGAGACACAATGTAAACCAAACCCCATTCAACAAATTTCATCTCTAATGCATTTAAACTTTATTATTTTAACAGTGCTGTAATGTGGTAGAGAGTCAGCTAGAGAGTCACTAAGGAGTACATTTTAAGAGTGGTATTTCAAGGATTTGTCCACATAATGTTAATGAGATCACACACTTTATTACTCCCAGAGATGCTGAACAAAAGGCCAGATTCTACATTTTGCTCTCAGGCAAACTTCCACTGAAAACACGAGTGCACACACTGCACAATTCCTTCACAAAGTGCAGTGTTTTCCTTCCACCCCCTTTTGGCACCTGGCAAGCTAGCCAGCATCAAGGTGCAGGGAGAAACTCAAGTGAGTGCAGCGACTCTTGCATGGTAGGTCTAAAGTGGTGAAAACCTCTTAGCACCCTCCGCCCATCCAGCTGCACAAAGACCAATCCCAATATAGCTCTTAAATCTTACTCACGTTCTGTGTTTAACTTAGGGTGACCAGAGGGCAAGTATGAAAAATTGGGACAGGGTGGGGGGTAATAGGTGCCTATATAAGAAAAAGCCCCCAAAATCAGGACTGTCCCTATAAAATCGGGACATTTGGTCACCCTAGTTTAACTAGGATCCATTTCTTCAGCAAAATCTCTTAGTTTTAAGGAAGAAACAGACATAGAGTTTAATTTATAGCATACCTGGTGTTTTTCCTGAGCTGTATGGTAGGATTTATGCAGTAAACTAAAGAATCTGAGTTTGATCCTTCAACTATGTTTAGATCCGATGCTTTGGACAATCTGAACTCCTGAAGAAGATCAACCTCTGCAATTTTAAAAAGGTTTTATAATTAGTTTCATTTGCCAAAGATTTGAGTTGCTTGGTATTTTCTATTAAAACAACTCTCCTGGGGGAAATTGACATAGAACTATTGACTCCAATGGAGTGAAGCCAAGTTATGGTCAATGAGATACTGGCCCTGTTAGTGCTGCCAATGGAAAACTGGTTTCTCATTGCTGGTTCTGTGCGAATATTTGTAAGTGGCCAGGTTTGGTTTCTGGCTCATCATAGGAGGGAGAATGCAGACAAAGAGAGCCCTTTTCTCCTGCTTGGGCACCTGTGCAGGGGGCAGCAGAACACTTGTGCTTGCATTCCCTTGACATATGATCTGAGGGACCACCAGATCATCTAGTCTTACCTGCTGTGTGTCACAGGCCACCAACAGCACCTTGCACCCACACACTAAACCCAGCAGCCAAAATTAGACCAAAGTATTACAGCCAACAGGAGACTAGACTTTTATGTGCCACAGAAAGAGAACAGGAGGGATTGAGGTGCACCAATGCCTGAGGCCCCTACAGTAGCAGGGAATGACTAAGTGAGATATACCCAAATAATCCTGGCAAGTGACCTGCACCCACACACCACAGAGGAAGGCAAAAACAAACAAAAAAAAACAAAAAACAGGTCACTGGCCAATCTGACCTGGAGGAAAATGCATTCCCAACCCCCATATAGTGAGCAAGAACCAACCAGCCAAATACCTGAGAGAGAGAATGCTGGGTGCCACCTCAGAGCACTTGCACACCCTGTCCAGTGTACTATCTCCAGCCATGGCCATCCCTGATGATTCAGAGAAAGGAGTGCAACAACAAAAACACCTACCCCAGAATATACTGGTTTTGTTTTGGTGTTTGTTTGGGTCTTTAGGGTTTTTTTTCCTTGACAGATATTTAGGCAGGAAGACTATGACAGGTACAGAGGCAGCAGTGGTAGTGACTGAAGCCATGGAAGAGACAATGAAGATGACCAGATGTGGAAGCTGTGAGATGTACATGATCCTAGAGCAGATATCTGAAAAGAGCTTCATTTGTATGAACTGCCACATAGATCTGATGGAAGAGAAGATCTGAGGCTTGGAGATACAGGTAGAAACTATGGTTGAGTTTCAAAGGGGGGTTGAGCAGATGATGGAGCAAAGGCAAGAGGAGGCTGAAGGGAAAAGTCAAGACTTGCAGGTGCAGCTGGACTGAAGAACTTGGATGGGAGATTGCTGGGTGAGGAAAGTGGCCAGTGGAAGAAAGTGACTATGAGAACCAGGCAGAGGAAAAGAACAGCTAGTACTGGAGAAATAATGCTCAGGAACAGGTTTGCTGAGTTGGAAAATGAAGAAGGGGCATAGCAGGCAATAACTGAAGGAGGGAGGGCAAGGAAGAAGAAAAGAGCAGCCAATCCTGTAAGGAGAAGAGCCAATGGAGATACCCAGAATTCAGAGCTCCGAAAGGATACAGAATGACTTAGAGAAGATTGCATGGGAGAGAAAAAGACAAGAGGACTTGCAGACAGAAAGAACAGGAGGAAGGCCAGAGAATCACACCATCACCAGGAAAAGGCAGGTCTATATGATTGGGGACTCTCTACTAAGAAGAACAGGTCTGTCACCAGAGCTCATCCAGAGAACCGAAGGCTGTGCTGTCTTCCAGGATCTAAGATATGGGGTGTGAACCTGAGGCTGAGGAGAATCCTAATGGGAGCAGGAAAGAATCCACTGTTTATCCTTAATGTGGGAACAAATGACACAGCTAGATTCTCGCTGGAATATATCAAGGGAGACTATGCCAGGCTGGGGAAGATGCTTAAGGAAATGGAGGCTCAGGTGATCTTCAGTGGGATTCTGCCTGTCCCTAGAGGAGGAGAATGAAGGTGAGACAACATTATGATGATCAACAGATAGCTCAGGCAATGATGCTATAAGGAGGACATTGGGATGTTTGACCACTGAGAGACATTCATAGACAGAAGACAGTTTTCTTGGGATGGACTCCACCTGAGTAAGGAGGGAAATAGACTTCTGGTAAGGAGGTTGGTGCAACTCATTAAAAGAGCTTTAAACTAGGAACTCAGGGGAGACGGTTGGGAGATGCTCATGATATCTCCAGGCCTGATTTTAACATTGAGAGGAAAGAAAATCAAGTAAGGAAGGATACCAGTCAGATAGTCGACAGTAGCAGTAGAATGACTGTACCCACTCAGGCAAGGAATGTGGGCAAAGCCAAGCAGCATCAGTTAAGATGTTCGTACACCAATGCAAGGAGCCTGGGTAACAAAACGGAGGAACTAGAACTACTCATGCAGAAAGTGAAACCAGATATTATAGGGATAACAGAAACATGATGGAATAGTAGTCATGACTGGAGTACAGGTATTGAAGGGTATGTGCTGTTCAGGAAAGACAGAAATAAAGGCAAAGGTGGTGGAGTAGCATTGCATGTTAATGATGAGGTAGACTGTAAAGAAATTAGAAGTGATGGAATGGATAAGCCAGAGTGTGTTTAGGTCAAAATCACTTTGGGGAAGAAAGCTACTAAAGGTTCCCACGATATAGTGCTTGGGGCGTGCTACAGATCACCAGGATCCAATTTGGCTATGGCTAGAGACCTCTTTAATGTTTTTAATGAAATAAATACTACTGGGAATTGTGGGATCATGGGAGACTTTAACTTCCCAGATATAGATTGGAGGGAAAGTGCTACTAGTAATAGTAGGTTTTCCTGGGTGTGATAGCTGAGAGATTTCTTCACCAAATAGTTGCTGAACCAACAAGAGTGATGCCATTTTAGATTTGGTATTGGTGCGTAGTGAGGACCTCATAGAAGAACTGGTGGTAGAGGACAACCTTGGTTTGAGTGATCATGAGTTAATTCAGTTTACACTAAATGGAAGGATAAACAAAAATAGATCTGCAACAAGAGTCCTTGATTTCAAAAGAGCAAACATTAATAAATTAAGGGAATTAGATAAGTGGACCAAAGAATTCAAGCATCTGAATAACTTGGAATAACTTTAAGTCAAAGTTGCCAAAGCTGTCTGAAACCTGCATCCCAAGAAAGGGGAAAAAATTCATAGGGAAGGGTTGCAGACCAAGCTGCATGAGCAAGCATCTCAAACAGGTGATGATGAGAAAGCAGCAAGCCTACAAGGAATGGAAGATGGGCGGGATCAGCAAGGAAAACTACCTCTTGGAGGTCAGAAAGTGTAGGGATAAAGCGAGAACTGCCAAAAGCCAAGCAGAGTTGGACCTTGGAAAGGGAATTAAAACCAATAGTAAAAGGTTCTATAGCCATATAAATAAGAAGAAAACAAGGAAAAAAGAAGTGGGACCACTAAGCACTGAGGATGGGGTGGAGATTAAAGATACTCTAGGCATGGTCCAATACCTAAACAAATACTTTGCCTCGGTTTTTAATGAGGCTAATGAAGAGTTTAGAGGTAGTGGCAGGGTGGCTAACAGCAACAAGGATATGGAGGTAAAAATTACCACATTCGAGGTGGAAAACAAACTCAAACAGTTTAATGAGACTAAATTGCAGCCCCTGGGTAATCTTAATTATAGGAAGTGGCACATGAAATGGCAAGCCCAATAGCAAGGATTTTTAATGAATCTGTAAACTCGGGTATTGTACCCTATGACTGCAAAATTGCTAATATATTTCCTATTTTTAAGAAAGGGGGGAAAAAGTGATCCAGGAAATTACAGGCCTGTTAGTTTGACCTCAATTGTATGCAAGGTTTTGGCACAAATTTTGAAAGTGAAAGTAGCTAAGGACATAGAGGTGAACAGTAAAGGGATAAAATACAACATGGCTTTACAAAAGGTAGATCATGTGAGACCAACCTGATCCCCTTCTTTGAGAAGATAACTGATTTTTTAGACAAAGGAAATGCAGTAGATCTAATCTACCTGGATTTCAGTAAGGCATTTGATACAGTGCCACATGGGAAATTATTAGTTAAATTGGTGAAGATGGGGATTAATATGAGAATTGAAAGGTGGATAAGGAACTGGTTAAAGGGGTGATTACAATGGGTCAGACTGAAAGGTGAATTGTCCGGCTGAAGGGAAGTTACTAGTGGAGTTCCTCAGGGATTGGTCTTGGGACCAATCTTATTTAATATTTTTATTACTGATCTTGGCACAAAAAGTGAGTGTGCACTAATAAAATTTGCAGATGACAGAAAGTTGGGAGGTATTGCCAATACAGAGGAGGACTGGAATATCATACAAAAAGATCTAGATCCTTGTAAACTGGAGTAATAGAAATGGGAGGAATTTTTACTATAAGCTGGGGGCTTATCAGTTGAAAGCGACAGAGGAGGAGAAAGACCTGGGTGTACCAGTTGATCACAGGATGATTAGGAGCCGTCAATGTGATGCGGCCATGAAAAAGGCTAATGCAATCCTAGGATGCATCAGGCAAGGTATTTCCAGTGGAGACCTTTCTTTTACGGAAACTTAATATTTATTTATTTTTGCTACTTGATTTGTTCTACATTAATGTCTTTTCAAAACTAAAGATTGGTTGGTAATTATGAGCCTTTTCCTTCCTATGTTTTAATAGTGGCTTCCTGGACAATAACTGTTTTACACAATTGCTTATTCCATAAGTAATGAGAATGGTTTGTCAGGAAATGTGTTTCTTACTCTGCTAGATAAAAATAGAATTCCAACCACTTATTTACTTAGCAGCTAGGCTTCAGTACTGCCCACCATTTGAGGTGTCTACCTTCTGCTGCATAGTTTTGTTTTCCCATACCTTGATATAGGTGTCATCAGATGCCAGATTTCTTGTGACAGTATTTGAGCTACTGTAGGAATTATGAAGCAAAGTGAGACATTTATTATGTATATTTGCATGCGGATATCCAGAATGCTTTTCCAACAGTTATTTAAGATTTGAGAACAAATTGCATTGTTATATTGTGTGTTCTTTGTTATTATAAGCAATAGCATAATTTTTAGTTGTATATGGCAACTTTTTTGTACTGTTGCATGTAATAAATAAAATAAGCATAAAGTTAAATTGCACCTTAGAGATGAAGGTTGTTATTCAAGCTATTCTTCAGTTTCTCTCTCTCACACACACGCGCTTATTTTGATGCAGAGCCAAATCACTGCAAAATACTATAATGGAGGAGGGGATCACTTATTTCATTACACAAGAATTAAGGCCAATTCTCTCTGAAGAAATATATTGTCAGTTAGTAAAAGAGTGCTTAGAAAATGTCCACTTGAAACTTATTTTGATTAAAAAAAAATAGGAAAAAATTCATGGTACTTTTCACAATTTTTTTCTGTAACAAGCTTGTCAGCACATTTTTGATGAAAAATATTTTTAATCAGCTCTGAATTTATCAACTATGAAAGAAGTATGTTCACATACCTACAGAATTTGGTAAATCCTGACATAGGAAAATATTGAAAAGAGTCACCAGGACCATCAGAACTGGAAATTTCATTGTAGGACTTCTTGAGTACATGCACCTATGAAAGGAACATTTAATAGTTAGATCTGTTTATTATTAATGCTAATCTGCTACTCTCACTCAATAGTCCCTAAAGCACTAGGTTTGCTGTGATAGGGAATCCCCACAACAGATGGGGAATGTGAGTGTATATATACACAGTATATATGTATAAACATACACACAGACACTGCATGCATAAATTAAAGACTTAAAATATGCATTGTAATTATTTTCAAAATATATGTCTAATAATTATCCATCATGTAAAGGGTCACAAATGACCCCAAATCACCTTCTATAACTAGATTTCTATGCACAAGTATTTGTTACAAAGATATTGGCTAGTTAGTTTTAACTACATTATGGATACAAACAACAGTGGTAAACTATATGCGGAATTCAATCATCCTCTACTGAGTGACAAAGATAAATATTGAACCTTACAGTTTGCTGTGAAAGGCCATTCTAAGAATGGAGCTTTTACTTTACTAGATGTACTGCATGTGTGATTAATTCATTGTCTTATTTTTCACATAGATTGTTTTCTCTTTAATGTTTTAATAATTTAATTATTAGACTAGTACTTGGATGATATTATCTACATGGCATCATCCCATTAAAAAGATTTACTCCTTACAGTTTTCAGTCTAAAGCTCTATCCTAAGGTCATTGATGTCAATGGAGTTTTAGTCACTGACCTCACTTGAAGCAGGATGAGGCTCAAAATTATACACAGTGAAATATGTTTCAATTTGTTAATCTACAGCCCAGTCCTGCTGTCATTGAAATTAAGGGGTTTAGGACTAAGGCCCTTGTTAGCATCTTTGAAGATTTTCACAATATGCTGTCACTCTACACACAACAGTCACTCTAATTACTTTCAGATCAATAAAAAATATCTTCTAAAAGATGAGAAAGAACCAACCCTTGTCTTCTGACATCTAGACTTTTGGGAAAGTTTCAAATCTGTAGTTAGATGCAAATTGCTCTACTCAGCTAATCCCTAACCATTTTTACTAGAAAGTCTGCTAGCCATGCGATTGTTAATCTTGCAACAATTGATTTGGACTAACTATGCATTATCCTTTTCCTTTATTTCTTAAAAAAGAAATCAAAAGACAGAGGAGCAAGGCACTTACACATATTATTCTAGTATCATTCTGATGCACACATAATGTGAGTATCAAGGACAGCATATCAATATGCTTATATTATTAGGATACATCAGCAGCAATAATCATATGCATTTAAAGCCTAATATTGTAACCTTTACTTATGTGAGTAACAGCACTGAAATCAGTGAAATTATTTGAGTATAGGCTGAAGGATCAGGTCCTACACCAAATCCTTCACAATATTTGTAATATACCATACATTTGATAACTAGATATAAAAGCAAGAGACTCTATTCTTAGATTCATAGATTCCAAGGCCAGAGGGACCATTGTGATCATCTAGCCTGTCCTCCAGTATAACACATAGAACTTCCTCAGAATAATTCCTAGAGCAGGTCTTCTAGGAAAAACATCCAGTCTTGATTTTAAAAGTGTCAGTGATTGAGAATTCACCACTACCCTTGGTAAATTATTCCAATAATTAATTACTCTCATTGTTAAGAATTTATGCCTTATTTCCACTCTGAATTTATATAGCTTCGACTTCCAGCTATTGGATGGTGTTATAGCTTTCTCTGCTAGACTGAAGTGCCCACAATTAAATATTTTTCCCTTGTAGATTCTAATAAACTGTAATCAAGTCACCCTTAATTTTCTCTTTGTTATTTCATGCAAGAATGTTAATTACACAATTCAGTAATTTTAAAAAGTCATCTTTGTTAAAGTATATTTTTTCTCTAAAAAGTGGCATAGGTATTTAGTTCCTGATTATTATAGACATAGACAATGTATTCTAACATTAGTATGTTGCAACATTTCAAAAGACGCATTTATACAAACTGCATTTCAATTAGCTGCTTCTTTTTCATTTTCCTGGAGATTCTGAATGCAATCTCATGTTACTAAAAAATATAGGGAAGAAAACTAAGTGGTTCATAGCTAAGGTATAATGAAACTTGTTAGCAAGCACTTTTTTTTTTTTTTACACAAAACATACAGCATAATGTGCTTGTACATATCATAACTAGAAAGCACAGGTACATGGATATAGTGGATAAAGTCTCATATAAGAAGGTACAATGCCAAATGGAAGCAATAAGAAGAAAACTTACATTCTTTCTAGCAACAAACGTGGATGAGGAGCAGTGTACCTATGAGGTCACAAAGCTTTAGATTGACTCTGCTGGAACACAAAGAATATCAAGAGAAAGTACGTGGAGAAGTTGAACAAAATAGAGCTAAAGATTCCTCATACTAAGTACTTTCTTCAATCTCAGCCATTTCTTTCAGTAACCTCTTTGCTCCCCCTATAATGGCTAGAGGCTCTGCTGTCTGATCATATAGTAGCTCTCACAAGTTTTTTAGGCCTCTGATAGGACAGTCGCTCCCCAAATAGAGTTTCTTGGAAAATCTCTCTAATGCTGAAGGGCAGAGGGTGTCTGGATTCCCTCCCTTTCTCCCTCCACCTCCTGTCACCAGAACTTTCAAATCTGTGACAGCTTACTGAAGGGCTGAATAAATGAGCATTTGTTAGAGTGCAAGAAGTGTAGTATCTCTATGATTTGCTTTATCCAGCTTTGCCTGAACCCCTTAGATCTCTAAGCTTCATTTGATCAGATTTTCTCATAAGATTTCCATTTCTTCCTTGTTTGCAGGGCTGATGGTACATTAAAAAAGCCTTTTCATATTATATTTAAGTACTTCCACTTGTAGTCCTATACATAAAGGACATCGTCTGCATAGTGCTGAACACATTGCCAGGCTGAGACCGCTATCTCTACCTGTAAGTAATACTGATTATTACTTATTACTAAGATCATATTCTCCATGAGAGAAACAAATATTTGCACAAAAAGCCCTTCAGGAAGTGATCTCAGTGATCTGGGACCAGTATAAACAAATAAGTATAAGCCAATGCATCCACCATTTGGTCATCTGATAAAATATTATTAAATTAATCAACAATCACATACTTTATGAAACAGTGTGCAACAAACTGGAGAAAGTCTCCCGCTAGTTTGGGTCAGGCCCAATATGCACAAATTTGTTCTCAAGGTTCTGATCATGGCAAACACAAACACTGGGCTTAAAACAATGGTTAGGTTTGGGGTTTTAAATATGTTTTAGTTTAATGTGTTTCAAAATGTTTTGTTCTTAGTTTTAGTATAGCGTTTAAAATTGCTGCTCATGATATCTTGTAAGACTCAATGTAACTAAAATTTGTCAGTTGTTTATTCATTTTTATATATTATAGATAACCTCAATAATTTCTTGCTACAATGCAGATACCACTCAAAGAACTTTTAGTTACACATGTTTAGTGAGGGAGGTTATTGGTATCAACCATCAGCCATATATAAAAGACATTTACATATACAGAACTACAATATATATCCTTACTGTATGATTCTCTTCTTTAGTTGTAATTCTCTTCATTAATGTAGAACTTTGCTGAAGCAAAGTTCCTAGTCATGCTGTGAGAGACACTACATAGCAACAGGGTGTTATATTTTACAAGGAGTTGACAGACCTAAGACAAATATATCACCAGTGAACAAAATGGATTCTGAAGCGTCCCCCATACACTGCAGCTGTTATGCTGCTTGAATCCCAGAGATAGTGGATAGGAATATGAAATTTGGCTGTTTAAAAACTTCTTTCACAGAAGTAAGAGCTCTTCTTTGTGCTGTTTTCGTACCCACTCTTAGGCCTGGGTCCTGATCCAAAGCTCATTTAAGTCCGTGGAAAGACTCCCACTGACTTTAGCGGGCAGTGGAGCTGACTCATTGTGTTTAGTATAAGATCTAGTGAATTTGACAAACTTCTGATATTATTTTCACCTCTGTCTATAGCAGTATATAAGGCTGTTCAGCTCACCAAAAAAAAGCTTCTCTTTTTATTCAAAGTGCATCTGTGGCTTCTTTTTTTTTTTTTTGCTGATTACCTTCTGATTCGGAAAGCACCAGAACATACTCATATTTTCTTGGATATTGCTAAGATGTGATCACTTGATAGATTTGTATATAATATTCTTAAGACATCAGTACAGAAATATTTCATGCAATTTTTCCAAGTATTTGGTTACATAAAATACACACTTTGATAAGATACTGTCAAATAGCTAAGGGGAAGTTTTGACCTCCCATTGAACTCTCTGGCCTAGATGATCTGTTCTGGTCAGCAAAGGTCTGATGGGAGTTGAGTACAAAGGTGGCTTTGCATTCCCGCAGTCCTGGGACCAACTGAAGTCCAAGTTCAGTCCCACTGCAATTTACAGTGGCCCTGAAGTGCACTCAGCTGCCTGTGGCCCAGTAATGCAGTTGCTCTAACCACCATAGGAGACTCTGGCATCAGGGAACTCTGTTGCCAGGGTCCTCACCTCTCTTGCACCCCTAGTTGACCACTTTCTCAGCCCTGCAATGACCTGGCTCTCTGGCCAGGTCACCTCTTAAGTTCAGCCCCCTTTCAGGGTAACAAAAGGTCCAGCTGAAAGTCCAAAGTAGGGTCGGGTCAGGACTGGGTCAAGAGCAGCACTGAAACTGGGGTCTGGGGACAGGTCACAAGTCAGAACTGGGGTCAGAGTCCATGGATAAGCCAAATTGAGATTGTAGTCAGAGACAGGAAGCAGGCCAAAGGGTGAAGCCAGGTTGAAGTCAGTACAAAGGTCAGGGGGCTCAGGAGGCAGGTGCAGGGCTGGAGTGGATCAGCAACAGGGCTGGAGTGGGGTCAGGGTAGGGCCTGGGCAAGGCAAAGCTCAGGGCAGTAACAGAAATGGGATCAAGAGCAGGCTGGAAGGCTACGGACTCTGTAACACCGAGACAGCTGGAGGGTTCCTGGCCAAGTGGTGCTATTGCACAGATGAACTTGCAGCTCTAGCAGGGTCAGTGTACCTGTGCTTGGGGGTCCTCTGACCAGGGCCCTGCCAAGGGATAGGCGGCCACAGTGTGACTGCATGATGAGTCACTGCAGGCTCTGTTTAAGGGATGAGTCAGTGCAGCTGAGTTGCTGCAGCTGTGTCCGTGACGAGTCACTGCAGGTTCTGCTGGCACCTACTGAGAATGTGGGCACATCTAAAGGCCCCCTCCCCCCAGGATCTACTGAACCCAGATCCCAAGTAAATACCAGGGACAACAAATGATAAAACACAGACAGGAGTGAAGGTCACAGGGTCAAAATCAGGGAACCAGAAGGGGACACCAAGCAGAAAACCCCAGCCAGCACCCACTGTTCTTCAAAGGCATCCAGGGAGCCAGTGGTGGTGGCCCAAAGGAACTCTGCCTGGATATGTGACCTAAGGAAGGAGCGGAAATAGGCCCCACAGTTGCAGAGAACCTCCCCATCCAACATCCTTCTCCTGGTATGATGGACGGCCACTTTCGCCAACGTGAGGAGGAGGTTGATGAGGAGGTCTCGTGACTTCACGGGGCAATGGATGGGGTGTGCAAATATCAGGAGGTGTGGGGAGAAATTCAGCCAGAACCTAAGAAGAAGGTTCTGGAGAAGCCAGGAAAGGGGCTGCAACCTGGTACACTCAAGGTAGATGTGTGCCAGCATCTCCTTCTCGCTGCAGAAGGGGCCAGTGTTGGGGGGGGGGGGTGAACTGTGCCAGGTACTCACCCTGAAGGAGCTGCCAACTAAGATCCCTGGTGGGCCAGGGGGTCAGGATGGAATACAGACTGGCCCACCGCACCTCCCCACCTTCCACGGGTGGTAGAAGATCCCACTACTTGGTGTTGGGGTGGGACATGAGGGTGAGGAAATGAAGGGCATGGAGCACAAGCACATACAGTTGTTTCCTACTCATGGTTCAGAAATGGACCAACTGCAGGCCGCACAGCCAGCTCGGGTGATGCGGAGGTGGTGGCCAGGGGGGCTCAGAGAGCAGGGCCCAATGGTGAGGTCAGGGGGCCAGGGGTGAGGGATGGGTGAGGAGCACTCTCCTGCAAGACCAGCTTGAAGAAGGCCTATGAGGCGGGCTGTAAGCCTGCCCTCACCTCCTGGAGTATACGCTGGGGGACACAAGCGGTGGAGAGCCTTATGCACTGGCTGAGCACCAGGGGGTCCACCCAGGCCCTCCAGTCGTAGTTCAAGAGATCTCTGATCCTGGTGGTATCTGCCAGGACCAATCTCCGAGACAGTGAGGGGGGGACTCTGCCACCTACCCACCAAGCTGAGGAAATCTTCCTCCTTGGTGGCTGCCATGGACTGGTCACCAAGACCAGCTTCCAGGCCTGGAGATGGTTCTGATAGAAGACTGGCAGCTTGGATAGTTCTCGCAGAAGACTCCTCGGATGGAGGTAAAAGAGCTGCCGGTCGTAATAGAGCCGTCAGAGGTGTAGGAGGCATGTGCCAGTGTGCTCCATGCCAGTCTACCTGCACCATAAAGGATCTCTGCAGGGCCTGGAGGCAGAAGACATGGACCTGACTGTGGAGGCAGAGCAGGCCCTGTCCCCCCTCCTCCAGGGGGGTTGAGTCATGGCAGCTGCGTGGGCAGCCATTGTCTGGCTATGGGCTTGCCTAACACCTGCCCGCCCTGTCAATCCAGCTGATGTAGTCAGTCCTGATTTCTCTTTGGCCATTCCCCTTTCTTCTGGTTTTGGGAGAGTGTGACAGGATCCCAGGGTGCAACCTGGACTGTGGGACAGCTGAGTCCTCCAAAACCCACCAGTCTGGGGTATCCCTCACACTGTGATGTTAATGTCAAGCTACAAGTCTCTGACAGGCACTGCACTTACACAGCCATCCACAGGCAGGGACACACCCAACTGTGTTACATGAATGGTCTCCCAGCCATTCATGAATCATCAATAGAGAGGCTCCAGCCTATTCCTCCCAGCTCCAGCCCTACATCTGTCTTGCACTGGTCAGAAGCTTGACATAAAGATAGGCATAAAGGTCAGAGATAGTTACCTTAAGAAAATAAACATGCTTTCCAAATCCTAAACTTAGTCTAAGCAAGAGTTAAATCCAACTGCTTTTCTCACCCTGACAGATGGCACAAGCGAGTTACAGTTCCTCAATACACAGACTGGGACTACCTTCCAGCCTGGGACCAAACTTCCCCCATCATAGGCTGTAGTGGGGCAGCTGCCCCACAGAGGGAAAAAAACGGGGTTAAAAGCAGCACCAGGGAGACTGCGCAGAACCCACAAATCAGGAAAGGGCTTATTGAGCCCACCAGTAGGGGGAAGGCTTGCTGGAGCAGCCAATCAGGGCCACTGAGGGCCATATATAAAGGGCTGCTCAGCAAAGCAGAAGGGAGTCTCTCCCTGGAAGTCAAGGGAAGAGGACTGGCTGCCCGAAGAAGTGCCATAGCTAGAGCAGTGCTGGGCAGGTGCAGCAGAGTGTGAGGGTGAGCTGCTGGCTGACCACTGCCAGGCTGGGGCTTTTTCTATAAGGGCTGAGAGGGTGCCAGGACTATGGGGGAAGTGGTCCAGTGAAAATAAGCAGCAGGTTGGAGGAGGGCAGTACATGGCTGCCGGCTATAGGGTCCCTGGGTCGGGACCCAGAGTAGCAGGTGGCCCTGGGTCCCCCCCCCCCCCCTTGCCAAGGAGGAGAGTGGCTGGTATCCAGACTGCAATTTTCCCCTGAGGCGAGGGGCTAGACCTTGGACTGCCCACTATTTTTTTCCAAGGATGCTCCAGCCCTGCCTATGTCCTGAGTGCAAAGTCTTTGTCCTCTGGACGTTCTTCCATGTGTTGAGTTGGGGTGGGGGAAAGGCCAAGTGATGATGTCACTCTCTTATACCTTCTTCCAGTTTGCTGGAAAGATCTTTGCTGTGACATGGGTGTCAGTCAGCCCCCATTGGCCAAGCAGTCTCCATTGCATATGTGCCTTCTCTAAGGAGTCTCTGGGATAGTGGATTGTGTGTTGATGAGCCACTAACGACATCTGGCTATTGATGGCTACTCCTTTATTGTGACTGAAAGGCTGGTTGTGGGTGTTTCCAACCTCACAACATATTTGAGTAACACATAGAGCAATACTTCATAACGTCACATATAATGACAGCACATAAAATCCAACAGGATATTAATGTTCAATGGATCAAGACTTTTAAAATGATACCTCACAAGGTATACTTTGTACAAAACATATCATAATTATAAGACAGTAGTTAATATGGGGGTTCCAGGGTGCTACTTTGACGTACAGAGTGGGACAACCAAAACCCCACTGCATTTCAGTAAGGGGACAATCCTGATTTTCTTACATCCTGATTTTCTTGATTAGGAATCCATATCTTGCAAATCTCGGGCCGAATTCTTCATTGACCTCGCTGATCTCAATTACTTAGCTATATCCTTTTCTCCCTGGCCTAATCTAACCTCCTTATGGTCAGGATCATAGGTGTCAAATCCGTGGGTGCTCTGGAGCTGGAGCACCCACAGAAAAAGATAGTGGGTGCTCAGCACCCACCAGCCACCCCACCAATCAGCTCCTCCCACTCCCACCTGTGCCTCCTGCCAATCAGCTGTTATGGTGGCAGGCGGGAGGCACTGGGGGGGGGAGGGAGGGAGGGAGAGGAGCAGGTGCAGGAAGAGATGGAGCGAGGGCAGGACACACTCGGGGAGGGGGGCAGAATGGGGGTGGAAAGAGATGGGGTGGGGTGGAGCCTCAGGGGAGGAGGTGGAGTTGGGGCAGGGCCTCGGGGCAGAGCGGGGGTGAAACACACCCAGGGAAAGCAGAAAGTCAGTGCCTGTGATCAGGCTTACATTTGGGCCTGTTATTTCCCCGTAGATGAGCAGTTATTTCACTGAGGTTTGGTTAAAGAATTCTCCCCAATTCTCACCTCAGTCTCCATAGAAATGTCTAGCTAAGATATTTAGCTGACTGCCAAGGATTTAACTTTGTAGACACATAGCTATATTAAAACTTCCAGGTGAACAGAGCTTCTCCCCAGCTCCTCCAACTAGAGCAGCATTCCTTTCCTCTAACGGGACAACAGCTAGCAGGAGAAATTTAGGGGCAGGACCCGAGAGTCCATGCTCATATTACTAATGCTACCTAAATTGTTGTATTCAGAGAATCCCAGTGGGAGATACCTCACAAATAAAAGATAGCATGGATGGACAGACTTCCTGACAGCAGTTAGGATTTCCCTGCTGTCTCCTTTGCTTGGGCTATGGTGGCCTTAAACCACATTGCTGGTCCCCTGATGTAACATGCAGGATTGCCTTCTTTCTGGAACTATGCAGGAGAGGAGCTGTGACTTGTCAGCTGACATACCACTCCTCTTGGTAACTGCAGAGGTACAAAAGCCCCTTCTCCCACATTTGCTTTGTGCCAGTTCTGCACTGAATCCCTTGGGAGGTATGCAGCAGAAGCGCTGAGTGGGTGTCCAAACCCAATTGGTCGCCGACATGGGCCAAACAACCAAGTTCAGATCTACAGCCAAATTTTTCCAAAGATCAAAGGGGTTTAGATGTCTAGTTTGTACTCTAGTTATCTATCTAGATGGCTCTTATCAACATAATATTGGCACACTCTATAATCATTGGTGGATTTAATCTCACACCGTCCCTGTGAGAGAATGGGATACTATTCCCTTTTTATAAATGGATTACTGAGGCACAAGGGAAGATCAACTGACTTGTCCAAGGACCCACAGGAATTGTGGCTGAATCAGGAATAGAACTCCTGCCTCCCATTCCAGTGCCACAGCCACTTTCCTACCTTATGCACATTACACATGAATAATATGTGAAAAAGGGACATTCTCCATTCACCCAAAACCACTATATATCTGGAAGGTATAACTCTAACTCGCACCTTGTTTTCATCAGTTCAAGAAATCCATCTCCATGCTTGCTGCTATAATGACTTCCAGAAAGATCAAAGAGTGGTCAAATCATAACTATAAAAAGATTTTGGCATTTTTTGCTTTCATCCATTGTTAAAATAATATAGAGTATGACGCACATGGGAGCAATTACTGTCAACTTCCAGCAAGATTTAAATTCTACACACTTTCTTCCTGGGAGAGTAGATTCCTTAGCATGTAGCCCCTGTTAGGGTTGCTGTTGCGACAGCTGTTCACTCTTCCCCTGCATTACATGAATCAAGCATCCTCTGTGACCATGTAATCAATTAGAACAAAATAGAATATTTCAGATCTCTCTTCCGCTCCTTGTCATGAGTGACATCTTGCACTTTAGACCTCAATTTACCAATGTCCTAAACACACCTGATGTCACCTCGCATTTATTATTGGATATTATCTATAGCAAAAAATACAGAATCATGAAACTGATAGAACAGAAAATTATTATGCTACGGAAATTAAGCCCACATCATTTTGAGGCTCCTGATTTATATGTTTTCATTTTGAGTACCTGCCCTGCATTCTATGACCTTGGCAGTTTGACAGGTGCAGTATGATTTTAATTAATCTCTTGAATTTTAACATTCAAAGTTAAAACAACAAACTCTGTTCCCAGAATTATTATATCTGCCAATAGACTGGAGAGTGTTCCCTTGTTCCTCAAGCCACTTGTCTGAATAAGAGATAAAAAGAAATTAAAATATAGAGACAATCTAAAAGCTTTGCTCAAGTAAAGGGTCACTAATCTACCTTTCTAGCAGCAATTGATACAAAAGGAATAACTTTACTGAAACAAGTATCTCAGATGGGACACCTTGCAGAAGGTTAAAAACAAAGATCAAGAGTACCATTAGCACTATTTGGATAGGCAGTCAAGTAGCAGTTAGAAGTAATCTCCTTCCCTCTTTGAAATGTGCCAGTTCTCCATAACCAACCTTTCCTTTCATTCACATAACATTCACATCTGTTTCATGTCAACTTTCCTTCCAGATAGCTGCACTGCACCTCACCCCCATCTCAATAGCTGGTGCCACTTCCGTTTTTTCCTCTCTGCACACCACCGCATCACTCCTGTGCCTTTGTTAACTGCTTACCCTCCCTTCTTCTTCAATGGCTTTCCCAGTCGTCCACTCTGTCCATAGAAGGTAGCCTCTCCTACAGCCCACTGCATCAGGGGCAGATGCCTTGCAAAGGACCCGAGACAGCTTTTCTCTATGCTCTCCTGCTTCAAAGCAATCACTTCTGGAAGGGGAGTGATAGGGGCCAGGAAACTTTCCACATGAACTCTTCCTCTGTTTTTCCCCTTCCCATCTCTCCAGCATAGGTGAATCAAAGAGACTGTGATGGGTGGCTCCTGAAGACTGACTTTGGTCTGATATTTGTCTGCTAAGCAAAGAGTAAATTTGTCCATGGTATGAATGTTCCAAATCTACTGAATCCATTCATCAATAGCAGATAGCACTTCTTCCTGTTTATCTTGTTCATTGTTCCAAAATACAATCTTATGCCTACTTCAGCTAAT